TCACTCTCATGCTTTACAGCTGCTACTCAGGCTGTTCACTCTCAGGAGGACGTTTTCAGTGCATGTGGGCTCAATCACCATGTAAGAACTGGTGTGTGTGTGTGTGTGTGTGTGTGTGTGTGTGTGTGTGTGTGTGTGTGTGTGTGTGTGTGTGTGTGTGTGTGTGTGTGTGTGTGTGTGTGTGTGTGTGTGTGGTTAGATTTCCTCCTCTCAGCCCTCCACCTCTCATAGATTTAGACATTATTATTTTAACATAGTTAGCAGCTGTGTTTTGGTGGTCAAACATGGTAATCATCCTCCTTTTCCCAGCCTCTTTTTGTTGGTTTAGGTGTTTTTATAACAGCCCTGTTTCACAGAAATTTCTCATGATATGAAACAGAGCTGGAAGCTTCTCAAAGACATAGAATCAGAGCTGGGAAGTCATCATGTCAACCATGATTTGCTCTGATAAATAATTCTTTTGAAGTGACAAATCTTAAGATCCTTTTTTCACTCTGACACAGTTGAAATACTCAGGCACATGCAGGCACAGTTCAGACAATCTAAATCTAAATAGAGCCTTTTACGTTGGCTACAAGTACAGGAAATGGGAACAACTTCACCTTGAAAAATATTTTTCTTGGTAAATTAGTGCAAAATATTTTGCATATGAGATTGGGCCTGAGGTGGAAATGCATATCAAAAGCCCATTAACTAACCTAGGAACACAGTCAACATTAGCATTTGTCCACTTGCAGGTCACTTTGCTGGGCACCTCAGTGTTGGAGTTTTCTCCAGTGAGTGAGAGCGTTACATCTTTGCAACTTCAGGTCACAAGGAGGTAAGCTCTGACCATTGTTTGTGCATATACACTAAGTAGCAGTTTGGAGTACAAGGCCTTGCCAGAGTTTCTGGGTGGGATACTGGAACACAACCCAATTGGGGACTTCTAGATTTCACAGGGCAATTCAACACCCACATGAGTAATGATAGAGATATCTGGATGAGGGTGACCGGGAGGAGCAGCCTTCCTGATCCTGTTGTTGGACTTGTGTGCTAGTCATGAATTAGCCCTAACAAACATTACGGAATCTAAATTTGTGCTCCACCAGGGGCGGGGCAGAGATATGGCTCAAGTCAGGTCTGCTGCGCTTATTAGATGTGTCCCAGGCCAGCGCACTTTGCTAAATTGGTGTCCAAGCACAGCCCTGTGCAAGTACACCCCCTTCCCTTCCAGTGGCAAAAGTCAGAAAGAGGGAGGGGAGAAGGCGTTGAGTGGGTTCAACACAGCAGAGTCCAATTTTCACTAATCACACAAGCTCCTCTCCTCACCTTTACATCACTAAACTTATCATGAAATTCTGATCCTCATGTTTATATTCAAGATTGGCAGCATTAAGTTTCTGTATTATATCTAAAAAAATATTTAAAAAGCTGTGTCTATATATGATATTTCATCAAATGTAAACCGAGTATTGATAGTCTTGTCTTTACTTCAAACTAGAATCCTAAACATGTTTTCATTTTTGCACTGTGGCCTGATTTTCAGGTGGGATTCAAAGTCGATGCCAATCCTGTGCCTTCTCTGCCAAAGAGAGAGGAGGTGATGACAGGTGACAGAAATATATGAGACAAATGTCTCAGTCATTCACACTGGTTTTTAAACTCCCTGAACAAACAAACCTGTTGGACTCCATCCAAAACCTCTGAGAGGTGAATGTTGGTACATCAGTTCATCTAATGTCTCACCTGCTCAATCTCTCATTCCTGCCTCAGACTGAAAACATGGCTTCCAGTTCTGCCTCCTGCATTAGAAATACTCTGCCCATCAAGTTGTGGTTCTGACAAATCCTTGGTCTAAACTTTTCTTTGACTGCTTTTCTTAGTCTTACATGCAAATGAAATAAGTGTTAATGTTAAAGTGGTAAAAATAAACGGAGCTGAGTTTGTCTTGATGACAGCATGGTCAGTAAGTAGATTTGAAATGATCTTTACTGATCTATTTCAGGTCATATGAGCAATTGATGGTATAATTAATTATCAATTAAATTAAATCTTTGGTGTCCCAGACTACAGGGTGTTGCATGTAACTTTTCCTTATCTTCGTTCAAAATGAAGAGGCTTGACTCTAGGCTTCAAAATAGAAACTGATTTTAGCTGAATGAAAACCCCACTCATGTTAACACGTTTAGAACATTACATTTTTTTAAACATTTCCTGTTTACATCACAGTGCATTCTCTCTGGTGTATTTGAATACCATTATTTCAGCCTTTGTCTTAAAAGCGTTTCATTTTAGGTGCTGTCTCTCTCAGTGAGTCTCACGATTTCTCGCAAAGTACAGTTATGAGCAGTTTACATCTATTTTGTTAGGGTTAGGGTTATGACAAAATAGGTTTATCTTGTGGTTTGAAACTTTGCATACATCTAGTATGGACACCAAACACTGCAACTTTGCAGTTTTTGTTGTAAATGTGTAAAAGCAACCCTGTAACTTAAAGCTATAGTGCATAACTTCTATGTGTCTGTAAATATCTGTTTCACCCAAGCCACTACAAGAGGAGATGATACAACGCCGATTAAGCTATTCGGCTCCTTAACACCTCGCAGTATTTTCAGTATTTGCTCTTTTTGTATTTGGTGTGTGGGGGGGCAACATTCCCGCACTGGTGCACAGGAAATGACAAGTTCTACTCAGTTTTACCTGACAAGGGGGGAGGGGGGAGGAGAGCGCTGCTCGTAGCAACATGTCGGAAAACCTGAAGAAGCGACAAAGAGGTTCAGAAGTGGATCCTACTAAAAAGAAAAAACCTTCCTTTTTGGCAGAAGGTCTGTTGGCGAAGAAAGAGAGTGACAAACTGAGAAGACTAACGTGGATTTCCTCCACCCCTTTTCCTCGATGGAGGAGATTGGGCTGAGGTCTGACACCAATGTTGCCTTGGTACTGCTGGATAAGTAAGTGATTATGTTCATTACAAGCAATATGTGTTGCTGTTACATGTACTGGACCAAATACTTTATTATTTTCTTGGAAATGGTGCTATGAATGTAATGTATTGTTAGCAGCCTGGTGTTCGCCACATTGTGTAACGTTAGCCTAACCAGCAGTAAATTACAAAGTGTGTAGCCCGTGTTGCTGTGTGTAACTTACTGTGAGGAGTCTGTGTGCTGTGACGAGTAACTTTAGTAGCCTACACATAGTGTAGACAGTTACAGTCCGAGCAGTATGCGGTGAGTCAAGAGTGTTACTCTGTGTACGGGTTACACCGCGCCATACGTCATATCGAGGTGCCGGCCATATCGTTGTTATAATGCGAAAATCCTCTGGAGGCAATAGAAGTTATGCACTATAGCTTTAATGGCTTATTTAACCTCTGACTTATTCTCTGTCAAGTAGAGTTACAATATAACTCATGCGTATCATCCTTTTAACAATTCCTGCGGATTTATCTTCCTCTTCATCACAGGTTGCACTGGTTCCTCCTCCTCCTGTAGGCTGTGCCTATGCTGACTATCCCTTAAACCATCACAGTAGCTCCAAGCTGATGTTCCTGCATGTGCCTTTTAACCTCTAAAGCTCTTCTAGGAGGAGGCTTCCTGACTGGTGTCCAAAGTACACTGTAAAGAGTGAACTCTAAGCAAGGACATATTTCTAGTAAAACAAAACAAAAATCAGTAGACTTAAGTAAAACACAGTGACCTGACAAGTGCAGATTAATATAACTGCAAAAAAAAAAAAAAAAAAAAAAAGGGCAGAAGATATGAAATAATTCTGCTCCACAATGTAGAAATTTACTTTCTGTAGCATTGTTGTGCATTTGCAGCTGGTTTCCACTGTTTTTTTGTTTGTTTGTTTGTTTTTTGTCATGCATTTGAAAATGTTTTTCAACCGTGATTATTTCCAAATTTGCTTATTTTAGTTGCATGTGCTAAAACTTTTGACCATACACAACTCCCAGATGCACTACACGTACTGTTTTTAGTAAGATGCTCATTTGCAACACCTGGCCACGCTTTTTCCTGCTGAAGCTAGTTTGGAACATTGCAGATGGATTGATTTTGTCAGTCACCATAGTTTCTATACTAATTCATACATATCTTGTTTTTGCAGTTTGCACATATTTAAGTTTCACTGAAGTTGCATACCTCCTATCCACAAAATACACACACACACTGGTCTCAAACTCAAATTATGGGCTTGGCACCTCTCCCTCTCCTCCTGTTTTGTTGGTAGGCCACATGAAGTCCTCCAGTGCCAGCAGAGTGTGGCAGAGGGTCACTGTTTCCCACAGTCCTCCAGGATTCACAGACTTTCTTCTTACCTCCTTATCCTCTGCTGTTGGTCCTCGCCACCGAAGAATCCCCGTCAAAATTTTCCACTTTGACCAAAAATAGTTGTCTATGCTGGCCATGCTTGCCTGGTGCCCTCCTGTCGCTTTCAGTAGGCTGAGTACACACACAACAACCAAACAATTTTCATCCAAATAGTTGTGAAGTTCATTAATTTGTTGTTTTGATTTTTTTTAATGTGAAGGAAAAACATCTAGGTTTTGTAAGACTGTGTGTGTTTGTGAAAAGGATTCAGAGTTTGAAAGATGAAGTAATTGAAAATACTACTGGGTGTTCTGGGCATCACTGTATGGAGAGTGGGCATGTCCCTAAAAAAAGATGAGGGACGGAGACAAGGTAGGCACTGTATATGATCTTCAATGCTACTACAGTATGCTACCTCCCCAAGTTCCCATTTTAAATTTAATGAAAAGCTAAAAGTGTAAAATAATATGGTTAAAGGATTAAATGCCCACACTGGTGTCCTTAAAGCACAAATACTGCACTCTGAAAAAGCTGTGGTTACAGCGCAACACAAAAAATGACCCCGACCTGTCAACACACAGCTATGTGCTGGAGGCGAGTAACGTGTTAAAATTACACGCCTGGACCACAGAAAGGACGGCAATAGAAAGTCCATCAAGATCCTTTCTCATGACGGACACATGAATCCTTTAATGGCTGGTAAATACGGATGGCGGTTTGGGGGTGTTGATGAGTAAAATAAATGCAGGACTTTAATCCAAGAGACGGCGGTCAAGGTTGGTTCATTTTTATTGCCTCTGTTATGTAACTCAGCATCAATCGATGACTATCAATTATGCTCCATCATTCACACATATAAGGTAAATTTAATGCAATTTAAGTAGATTGAGATTGTGGCTGTGATGTTCACATCATGGCACTTTAAGAGTCTTGTCATTTTTTATTATTTTTATATTTATTTTTTGTTTTAAATCTCCTGTAAGGAACTTTATGTTTGAGCTGTTTTTTGTGTCCCTGTGACAAAGCAGTCTTAGCTAACATTGTTCTCTACATGCATGAATAGTATCTTTTAACCAAAAATAAATAAAACTCATCCTGCTGACTTTAAACTGTCAAATGTGTCATTTATTCAGACTATTTGTGGAAAATGTAAAAACAGGGCTGTTTCTTCAGCTGCTCAGCTGACACCTACCCCCTCACAGCAGTTTTAGGATGAAAACTTTTGACATAAAAATCTTCAACCTTGTTGCCGATGGTCTTTTTTGCTTTTGGGTATTGTGCATGAACATGAATTTCAGTCTATTTCATCAACATCCCAAAACTCCTTATAGGAGTTTTAACCTGGTCAGTCTTAAGCTTATAACAGCACTGGGAAATGTGAATACAGGTTTTTCTTTCTGTGTTTGGCATTTCAATTATTTCCTTAAGGTTGATTGGTTCTTTAAGAGGACACATGCCTCCATGACAGGGCCACCCCAAGACTATATGGGCCCCAGAGTCATACAAACCAATCCTGATTTCCTCCTGTATTCTCTAGCCATCTCCTGCCTCCTTCCAATTTTGTTGTGTCTCCCAGAAAACCCACAAGATTTTGAGGCCCCAGATGTGTAAATGCTCAACCATTTACACATCTTCAGTAAATTTCACACACCCGTTATCAATTCTAGTAGATTATAGCTGCTGCATACGACGCAGCAATCTCAGGCTCATGTTTGTTTTCATATTCTTTTAATTTTTGTGTTTAAAGCAAGAAAACTCAAGGGTGGTTTGTACTGAAAACAACAACTTTCCTTCATTTTAAATAATTTGGTGAGTACAGAGCAGCAGCATATATTGTAATATGGTACCTAGCTAGGGTTTAGACCAGTCAATAAAGGTTTGTGGTTTGTGTCATGTTGGCGCCCCCTGTGGACAAAGACATCTCTACTGATTTTACAATGGATTAAATTAGATAAAATAAAATCACATTAGATTACATGAGATTAGATAAAATTACATTCAATTACTTTAGATTAGACAAGATTACATTAGATAAGAATGATTTGATTAGATAAAATCAGATTAGATTAGATTAGATTAGATTAGATTAGATTAGATTAGATTAAATGAGATTAGATTAGATTTGATGGAACTTTATTGATCTTTTTGGAAAGGTTTCCTTTAGGTAAATTGAAAATGTTGTTCCTTTCTACAGTGTTACAAGAGAGCAGTAAACCCCTGTAATGTCTGTAAATCCTGCTTATTTCTGAAAAACAACCATAAAGAACCTAAATTTAAGAGATTTTGTTGTTTTATTGACTGGTTATGCCGTGGTTGACATGCAGTCTCAGTGAAAATCTAACTGTTTCATGATTTAAAGGTATATTTTCATTTGAGGAAACTCAAGCTAATACACCAAATATCTGAAAGTGTATTAAATACCCAATAAACATGAGTCCATGTGTCCTGATATTGCGTTTTGCGGTCAGACAGCACACTACAGGCAGTTGAGATTTATCCCCTGTGTGATGACACAAGAGGTCATCCAAACCCTCAAGTTTGTTTGTACAAACCTACCTGGTTTGGAATGGGGGAGTCAGTAAACAGGTAGAAATGCTACAAATAGAATCCTGCCACTTAAGAATATAGTCTTGAGGGAGGGCAGCTTGTTCCCGGGTCTGCGTCAGCACTGACCTTTTTGCTGTTTGCTGAAGGGATTTGATTTCACCCCAAACTCTCTCACTTTCCCTTTTTTTCATCACTCACACTTTAGCCATCTGAAAGGTATAAAATGGCAGTTTTGTCCATGAAGGAGAAGCTGTGGTAGTTTATTCATGAGCCAAGTGATACCACACCAACGATAAGCTGATTCTAGCAGAGAAATGTTGGGCATTTCTCTTTGAAATGTTGTTTGCATCCTGCCAAACACCTCATCGAGCAAGCGTGCATACTTTCATATATACATACAGATAAATATGCATCTCACAGGTGAGTCAGAGGTCAGGACCAGAACAAAACCTTGATTCACTTGATGAGGCACAGTTCAACAGTGTAGAAACTCTTTAAAATCCTCAACTTTCTGAAATATGTATCTCTGCCTATTACCCTCCCAAGCTTTGAGCCATTGCTAAAACATATTTACACTTCTACTCCCGCTGGGTACTTACAAACTATAAATATCCCTAACTGTGTGCTGGACGCAGACCTCAACATCTCACGCTTTCCACTATTCATTGTCGACTAAGGTTTTGAGTCTTTATGCACCAACAGCAGCCTCTGCTGGCATAACATAGGTACTCCCACCTCTATTGCTGGATCTTGCTGGGATGTAAATTAAAGTTTGTGTCAGAAGATTGACAAGAATAAAGGCTGAAAAAAAACTTTTAACTTCCTGAAGGCTTTTTTTTCTGTTAGGCTGTTTAGAAAGATAAAGAAAGACACACCACTTCTCAAACAAAGCTGAAAAGCAGTTATTTTTGTGGTGTCCGGTGTGGCTTCTGTGTTTGAGAGATAATCTGACATCAGGCTAGCTTCGAAAGGGGAGGGGGTATCTGCATGTTTAACGTGTCATGTTTGCTTTCACTTATTTTGCGATGTAATCCAGCTCTGAGCGTATTTTCTTAATTTACTTTTTTAGCAGTTTTTATACAGACCTGAGCTAAAACCATGGGTCATTTCGGATTAGCTTTAGTCCAAACATCTGCTCTGTTTCAAAATTTGAGAAATGATCTGTTAGATATCAGGGATGCTGGAGTTCTCAACATATTATTGAACCATATAATACATGCATTCATCAAAGCGAAATAAGAAAAAAGGGCATCTGCTGTATGCTGGGGGCATCAGCACACAGGTAGTTTGACTAAAGAAGGTTTTTCATTTTACATTGAGAAAAAACTTAACCCGATAATTATAATTTAATGCCCAAGCACCAGGATAAGGAGGTAACTCCTCTTGGGAATAGATATCTAAGAAATATGTGCTGCACTATACTGCAGGCAGTCTCTTTTGTCACCTTCAATAAATGACAGAATATAGCCTCAAGATCTAAAAGCACTGGCCTACTCACCGTACAGATAAGGGGAACTGTCTACTGTTTTGATTGGTATTGGCTTTTCATCTTCAACCCTTGAATTATGAGACATAACCACTTTTTTAGATGTATTTGGATTTTTATAGTATTCTATTTGGGTCAATACAGTCAGCTAAAGTTAGATAAGGCATAGTGGCTGAAACTGAGCAGGTAAAGTTAGCCAAGCTAGAGATAATGTAGGCTATATTTACAGGATAAATGTTGCTCATGTAGCTGAAACTGTCTAAGGGAACATATGGTACATAACAGCGTGTTGCAGATTGAGAGTGTAGGAGTTCTGACAGACTGTCCTTGTGCAGATACCAGTGGGTTTATTTCATGAGGGATCCTGCTTTTACAGACACTTCCCCTTTCATATATAGTAAAACACACAAAATATCACTAAAATAATAGGCACCTCCTCATCTAGGTATAAACGGATCTAACCTTTTTCTTCTCTGGTCAGATAAAGTCTTGTTTGCCTTGTTAAAGTCATGTGATTCCAGTATCTCAAACAATACAGTTTGCACGCTAAAGCACAAATATGTATTTTGAAAGCACTCTAACAGTGAAACACATCCTGAATAACTTTTCTGATACTCTAATAAACTAACATTATTGTGAATAGTTATTGACCTAGACAAGCAAGAAAGATAACAAATCAGATTACCAAAGTAAGGCTCACTTTCCTGCACCTCTTTACTTTGAGGAGTAAACAGGAGTCACAGGGTGTTTCAGGTCTCACAACTTACACCCTTGCCCAGGTGACCTGAACAGGGTTGATCAAGCCCTGACCTGCGTCCCAGCAGATCAGCCCTCTTTATCCGAAGTCACTGATGCCTCACCGCTTTGTGGCTTTCTTTGCAGCTTCGCTTACAGATTGGATGGCCCTCCTTATGGCTGCCCCTGTCACACACAGCCATGAGAGGACTCTGTAGAGTGACTGGCTGGAAAACCTTCTATGAGCCCATAGCTGGCTTCCTCTATTATATTCCTTTGTTCTGATCAGTTATTGGGAGGACTGTAATGTTAACTGATTCTTTGGTTACCTCATTCACATATCCTGCACTCCAGCTTGTCATTAATCCTCCACCTTGATTGGAGTTCACCCGGCAGGATGACCCAGAGAGGAGGTCCATTTACACCATTTCACATACAAAGAAGCACAGAACTTCTTCTTCTTCTTCGTCTTCGTCTTCTTCTTCTTCTTCTTCTTCTTCTTCTTCGTCTTCTTCTTCTTCTTCTGTCAAATGTGTAATTTATTCTGAATATTTGGTTTGAACAGGCCCTTGTTTATTCAGCTGCTTGGCTGACACCTCACCCCCTTGCATCAATTTGAGACATTAAAAATTTCAATTACAATTTGCATGTCATGATTAAAAGCATCAATATGAATTCCAGTGTATTTTATAAGGATCAAATAACTCCTCACAGGAGAAGAAGTCATTTTATTTGGTGAAATGTTCCTGTGACAGCCAAAATCTTTTCAAAGTTCATCCATACTGTAATCCTTGGCTAATTTATGAATCACAGGAACTTCTGACGTTGTATACAGCAGTGCAAAAATAACCATTTTGTCAACTTAAGGTTTGTTTGCTTTTTTGTAATTCAAATCAAGGTGTCAATCTGTCTTTAATCATCTAAAAACACCTCACAAAAAGAGAAGTAAAAAGAAAAAAAGATCAAATTTATTTTCAACACTGTCACAAAGGAGGGAGAAGTGCATACAAAGTTTTACCGGGACTCTTCAAACCCCTAAAGAGAAAGCAGAAATGAGTCATAAGAAATGTTTGTAGTCAATGCGTCCTCTTCTTGTACTTTTACTGGATAACATATTACTCGAGCAATAGGAAAAGTAGTGCTGACAGATGCAGAAAGAAATGGTTGAATTTAGATTACTTTAAGTACTTTACAACACCCACAAGCTTGCACTATCAGAGTGCAGTTCGAACTCCTCGTACCAGAAGTAAAGGTGCCTCCAAACTGTTTTCCCACCAGCTGAAAACAAAACACGTTTCCTTGTATCCATTGTTTACCTCTGTCCTCTCATTGGCTGCCCATTATGACTGAGGAGAGTTTTTGTCCAAGGCTGTCAAGGTGTTTCCTTTAGCTGGCACCATGTGTGTGCACACGAGAGTGTGAGGAGCAGCAGTGCTGAACATAACACTTCACTGCTACCCATAATGCACTGTGGGAAAGGTAACACCCATTTTTTTTTTTTACCTGGAGGAAGTCAGAGACGGAAGCTATCAGCCTGGAGAGAGCAGGGGACTCAAAACTTTAGCCCAAAGAAGAGACAGGATAAGAGATTAAGTTTGGATTTTCACACAGAACGTGAGAAAGTAGTTTGTTTTTGAGGAGATCAGGTTTTATTGATACTTTTGAGACTTTTGAAGCTGTTTTGGGAGCTTTTTCACCTGTCTGCACTGCAAAGGTGTGAGTAGGAGAAGTCAGAGGATAGTCAGAGTAATGGGAGGAGCTGCAGGCTTCCCCCTGTGAGGACTCCACCTCTGTTCATATGGTAAATAGAGGGTCACATGGGGCAGTAGTCTTGAAGCAGTGGGGGTAAAAGGGAGGGAAAGATACACTGCAGGACTTTGGCCTGCCTCATGCAGGAGGAGGCTCTTTCACCCTGAGTTTAGAGGACACTGGATCATTTAAGAAAGATCAAAGAAACAAATAGAGCAGGAGAAGTGCACATGTAGGCCAGTCTGACTTTCCCCACTGGAGCCTTGTGTCTTCTGCTTAACTTCCTCTGGATTTGTCTTTATCTTTCCTCTGGGGTAAAAGTTCAACAGCCAGCCACTTCCTGGTTGTCAAAACTGGAAACTTCTTTGGACTTTTTCCTGCACAAGTGAGGAGTCAAGATGCCCACTAACTTCACAGTAGTGCCAGTGGAGGATGCAGGGGATGGCAGCAATAGTGCGGCTTCAGCAGGAGACAACAAACCCATCAGTTTGGATAAAATCTTTAAGGAGGAGGAGAATGAGGACATCCGACAAGGATACAATTCAGGTAGGAGCGTGTCAAAACTTCTCCATGGCTTGTTTGGGGTCATGAGAGATCTCCAGTCTATCCCATAATGCACTGGCAGAGGAACAGAATCTGAAATGTGTTATTCTGATAAACTCCATGACTGTGTAATTGGACATGTGTGTGAAAGCGTGCTTACACAAACAGTTAGATTCATGTTCAGGCAGGCACGCACTGCACACACACGCACACACACAGCTCTCCATGTGACGTTGTTAGACTAGCAGGAACTTGCAGGGCAGCTTGATGGCTGTTTTGAGAAGGTGAAACTGAGTTGTTGTAAGTCTGTGCTAACCTGATAGATGGTGGCGTCTCTTTACCTCATTTCTAATGAACTGAAAAAGGCAGAGACAAGAAAGACTTCTTCGTATAACCTCACAATGTCAGTCTAAACTAAATGTGCAAAGATGGAAAATACAATCCAACTGTTTACAAACTACTGAGCATCTCACATGGATAAAGTAAAGCTCTGATAAGCTGTTTTTTTCCCTATAAGTAATTTTTACTGACTAAGGTAAAGTTATGACTTAATACATGTAAAATGTAACTGAAAGCTAGATAGCTGGTGAAGAACTCTTATAACTGACCAGCTGTGGTCAAAGTACACTGCTTTATACAGAGGAGGATAAAAGGCAAAAAGAAAAAAGACACTGAGGACATGCTGTCTTTTCTAAATCTGATTTTCTGCAGAACTCTGCGATTAAAAATCTAACTTCTTTTCTTTTTTACAGAATTCTGGCTTACTTTCAAAAAACCAAGTGAATACTGACTTTGAACTAAGAACTCTGACATTTCAAGTCAGGATTCTTAGCTTAAAGTCAGTATTTAGACTTATTTCTCTGAATTATGAGATTAAAGTCAGAGCCCTGAGTCTCAAGTCAGAATTCAGAGAGAAAAAAGTCTGAATTCTGACTTAAAACTAATAACTCTGACACTAACTTCAGAATAACAAGTTTAAAGTCTAAATCATAAGTCAAAAAGTCAAAAATCTGGTATTAAACTATTTGAGCTCAGCATTTCAGAATTCTGAGTCTCAAAAAATTGCGTCTTTTTCCAGAATTTCTTACTTGAATTCCCGAATTCAGAATTTTTTTTTCATTTAATTCTAAGACTTAAGTAAGATTTCTGATGCTTGTTTTCTTACAGTTCTCCTTTTTTAAATGTTGCTTGAAGTCAAAATTTTGACATAAAACTCTGAATTCTCAGAAAAGACTCTCGAAAACTTGAATTCCAATAAAAAGTTAGGAGTAAAAAAAAATCTGCTTATTTTATTCATTTAGTTTCCTTGGCCCTAATCCTTTTCTCTAGCTTCATTACTCAGATTAAAGTACAAATTATCCTAATCAAATATTTTCTAGCTCAGTCATATTATTACAGACTTTAAAGTGCTGAAGTACTTGCTTTTGCAGGCCCAGAAGTTGGAAAGCACAACTGTGTCACTGAAGCTGGGAGTAAACAAGATGACCCATGACTTGACAGAACTTAAAACAGATAAAACAGACATATCAATCAAACTTAAGAATTGGCTGTTATGATATGTTACAAATCAACAAGGAGAGAAAGAGATAGTAACAAACTGAAAAGGGGCATGTCGCCACCTACTGTAGCGGAGGTGGACACGCTTCTGCCAGAAATTAAATTCTTGCCCGGTGCATACTGGGACAAAGACAGGAGTCTAAGTGGTTTTATTGAGCTATAACCGTAGCTCAAACCAACTGTTCATGTAAATGTATTAAATGACTTTGTTGAGCTTGTGTTTTTCTCTGCTCCTCTTAGCTCATAACCTGCAGTGCATGACACATGCTTTGCTCAAGCGTTCATTACACACATAGTTAAGTTGAGCTTCGGTCATAGCTCTAGTCGTCAACTTAACTGGACTGCTGTCCTCGTCCAAGTTTACAAAAATATAATTATTGAGAGAGGCATCTATAGTAAATGACTGACACACCCCCATTCGGCTTGTTACCACAGGGTCATCTCCTGTTTGATTATTTCACAATTCAAAACAATCAATGTTAGCAAGTTGGTAATACGATGAACATCGAATGACGTAAGCAGTGGGTTTTTTTGGTAGACACATAACACAGCTCTTAGAAGGTAGGGTGATACACAATACAGACTGGATCAAAATAAAAGTTCACCCCAAACTGCATGAAGCTGGGATAGACCAGAGTGTGACACAAAAATAAAATCGAAAATATTGAAGTGGATCTGACCCCACCTGATTCCTCTCTTATCTCTAGAGGCAGAATAATATTTCCTCTTTAGTGCATGTGTCATGCTGTCCTGATTAAATTTGATAGTGCATGTAAACACCAGACTGGATTAAATCACGTCATGTAAAACTTGAAGCTACATTTTAATCAGAGGGATTTCAGTAGGAATGAAGAACTATGTTTTTGTGAACATGGCTGGTTAAAGATTTTAACTATAAAACAGGATGCTGACAGCAGGGCCCAGTGACAACATGAAAAACCTGTTGTACCATTCAAACAGTGTGAACGTTTGGACTATACTCATAATCCTGTTACTCTTATAACTATCTGCCCTTCAGTGTTGAGTGGAATACAACTTAATAATGTGTCATTAGAATTACTACAAACACAGCTGTATGGGTGGAGCTTGTAATTCAAATAAACAAGTGTTTGAAACTTTTGATGGTGGAAAGTGCAGAGACACCAAATCTTTCAAGCCGATGATTCCCACATTCAGTCTCTCTGGAAATTCTTCTTCCCAGTTCTGGAATAATGTTGCAGGTGTTTGCATTCATAAATGACGTTGCCTCTTTCTTCAGCCTCTTAAAAAACAGACTTATTCTAACTGCGCAGCCTAGCTGGCCTCTTCCTCGACTTCCTCTTGATAGTGAGCATCAATTTGGTAGGGGTCAGTCCCCCCCACTTGTGTTTCCAGACACTCAAACCCCTGCATGGAGGTCTTAGGACTCATGTTTATGATGGTCTTCTTTAGTTCCTTTCATTGCTCTGACCAGTCTTGATCACAGTTCTGCTTATTCTGGAGTGAGCTTCACCTCATCCTCCCACTTCACTCCGCAGACTGTACTCAGGGTCAAAGGATAACAGAGAGTCTGAAGGCCACAGACCTGTTGTAGGCTGTCTCTGATCAGCTTTCATTGATGCTGTCAGGCGTGTCTGCTCATCTTTCTACTCCAGTGGTGTTGCTGGAAGATCTGTAATGAAGTCAGTCCGCTGCGGAATCTAGAGAAATGCAGATTATTTCTCCTTCTGTGTGTTTTTATTGAATTCATGTGAACTTCACATTAGATCTTCATGCACAATCCTTAAACCCATCAGTTATTGTGGTTGTTTAACTTTCAATTGATTTCCAAAAAGATATCTGCATGTTTGTGCTAATAAAAATATGGCCCTTTAGATAATAGCAAACTGAGGCTTATTTTTCTTTTAGAGATGTAGGAGATTGGGTTCTAACTCCTTCATTTGTAGTTCAAAAGAGGTTGAAAAATGTACCAGTAACACAGATTACAAAGTTCTTAATAATCAAAAACAATGAAAGTAAAGCTCATGGAGGAAGTTTTAGTTTATGTTGATTTGTTTTTCTGTCAGACATAGTTTGACACCTGCTGTGTTCTTCTACAGTTACATTTTTTTAATAATGTCTCCTTCCATTTATTAATTAGTGAGATTTGGGTTGTCTTTGTGTAATATTGCAGTTTTACGAAGAATCAGAAGTAAAAACATGAAACTCTAGTGGTGGCCACCTAAAGGGATCACCAAGTGTAGCGGAGTTTTGCAGCTCAAGGGTGAACATTTATGATTATTACGTCATGGAAATGCAATTGTACCAAGACGCTAAGGCAGAAGAACTACCGCGTTCGCAGTGCAAAATGTTAATAACTATGATTATTACTTCACGGAAATGATCGACTTGTCAGGGCTCCCCCACAAAAAAGTGGCTGCTGGAGGAGAGTGGGTGAGTTGTTTTTGGTGTCTTTGCTAAAAAAAAAAAAATTACATGCAAAGTTAAAAAGATGTTTGATGGCTAGTGCTATGGCAGGGACCCTATATGTACTGTTGATGAAGTTAGGTGCTGTTCTGAGCATTATTTGTGGCTATAGAGTGGCGTTTTGGTTGAGGTTTGCACATGGAGACGTAGACTGCTGTGTATTGCTATTGTGCGGTCATTACTAAAGTTGGTATAACTGGAGAAGCAAGCAGTCAGCAACATTCACCTCTCAAGTGGGTGTCTAACTCGGTGTTATGGTGTGTTTGACTCTAACTTCACTCGACGCTGGGATATCCCTTTAAGGTTAAGCTAAGGAATTTTTTTAATTGCTGGGCCAATGAGAAATAACTGAAAGTATGTGGTGTTAATAAATGGAATACATGCCCCTCATTGTTATGCAACATTTTTTTTACAGCCCTTTGGAGCCCAGTTTATGGGAGAATGCATTAAAGCTTCAGCACTGACTCTTGCTTCACTGTAAAGAAAAATACAGTTACTATGCCAGGATACTTGTAAAAAGGAAAAAAAAAAAAAAGATTAAAGACAGGACATCAGGAACCTTTACTCTTAGGCCTGTAAAGTCATAGTTTGCAGCTCGCTGAGGGACAGGGATCTACATATGTGCACACAGAGTGCTGATTAGACAAGATCCTATCAGAATAAACAAAAAACATCTTAGTACAATCAGTTCCCAAAGTAGCAAGCCGTGTCATGTTTGTTGTCTGATAAATTTCTGCTTGTACTGTAACTTTGCAAGATATATATATATGCTGCTTGTACTGTAACTTTTGTTTAAACGTAACAGTGGGGTACCTGAAAAGCATGGAAAACCAAATGAAGCTATCAATTTTAATAAAAGCTAATCATTAGTTTGACCAAGGATCCAGTTTAGGTTTGTCCATTGGAAATGGCTGCAGACCTCTAGAAGCTGATTTTGTAACCTTTGATGGAGCCATGCCAGTCTTATCTGTCTGTTAGTAGACTTTGGGCTAAGTTAAATGGCAGTTCAGCACATGGGTCTACATAATATACAATTTCAGGGTGCTTTTAGATGCAGTAGCTGAGTTGACATGGAGCACAAGTTTTTTTTACAATGAATGACAGGAAAAGAACAAAGGCAGTGGAAATGTTACACAGAAACACCTCAAACAGGCCGAGACCATACTAACTTAGCTTAGCTTTTGATTTGGGTACAGCACACACACATTTTTAAGCTTGGCTCATTGAAACAGATTTTGTTGTTTGTTAAAAGCTCCTATGAGAAACTCTTCTTTTGTGTCAGTTTTTGCACCCCCTGTGGACAAAGCAGTCTTGTCTATCTTGTGCTTATGTCGAGACTCCTGACACAAATCTCACCATTTTGACTTTTTACAGTCAAATTTGATCATTTATTGGGAATATTTTATGTCATCAACAGAAAAACAGGGCTATTTTTTCAGTTCCCCAGCTAACACCTACCCTCCTGCACCTGTTTCTGGTATTTAAAATTATGATTAAAAATCATTAGTCCTGCTGCTGATGGTCTTATTTCTTTTTGTATACAGTTTAAATGCATCAATATTTAAGTCAGTCCATTCACGATCGTTTTTAAAAAATCCTTACAGGCGCTTTAATTTCCTTATTCCCCTGTACTCTATGCCAGACATTAAACACTGAACACCTCCTTGTACTTCTGCCTATGGTGGAAATGCTGTTAATCCTGTGTATTATTGTTTGTAGAGTGTCTGTCTGATGGTTTGAGGACAGATCTTGATTTAAAACTTCTCATTCAAAGACTGAAAAGGTAGTGTATGTTCAGCTTTTTTAGGATTTACTCTAATTTGTTTAAAGTCCCAACAAGTCATCATGTGCTTTCTAATGGGGCCATGTGCAGGTTCTTTAAAGGGGCTAATGACCTGTAATGTGTTTGTCTTTTTTAATTGAATAATCACCAGGCTGTGTTTAATGCTTTGATTTGATACTGATTTATACTGGATAAAATTAGCTTTTAAATCACTCCTCTGTGATACACGAAGAAACACAGACCTCTGCTGGTAAACTTTTTTTAACATAATGTTTTCATTTTGGTTTAAATTAAGCAAACAGAAGAGTGTTTTAGAAAATATGTAAATGAATTTCTTTAATTTTGGCCTCATTGTCAGAGTGACTGCACATCTGATGGACATGGTGTTTGTCTTCAATTACACATTTCACCCAGAAACGTCTCTTATGGTTGACTTTATTTATTTACTTATTTATTTTTAAAAAAAAAGTTTTTTCTTTCTTTTTTTTTTTAAATAGAAGATTTTCAGCTTATTAAAATGAAATTGTGTTGAATTAGGTGACTGCAGGGACGGTTCAGAGATTGTGAAATGAACTTGTGGTTAGTGACTGCAGAGTCCAACAGACAGCTCAACAATAATGAGACATTGTTATATGAGGAAGGACCCAGCTGTGTGTGAACTTTGTGTTTTTTCTTCTAGTGCTAAAATATGAGTACAAAGAGTTTATTGGATAAGAAACAAAAAGAGGAGAGAGATGAAAAGCACAACCAGCAGAGATAAAAAGCCTGTATGCGTGTTTTATACAAAATTTGCAAAGACGTACAACAGTGATGGGACATGAGTTAAGTCTAACAAGATATTTTGTAAAAGTCTGAGTCATTTTCAAAAAATTGTGTTTGGTTTCAGTCATATTCAACTTCACTGCTTTGTCATTTTGGTCAAGATGTAATCCGAGGAACTCAGTTTTCATTTTGGTCTAATTTTAATCAGTATCAATTTTTGCCTCATTTCAGTTGATATTTCGGTCAAAACTTTCTCAGGCAGAAACAATACCTTACTATGTTTAGTCCCTTTGGCAGAAAATGGGTTTCTAACTAAGACTTCCCCATGTCACGGGGATAAAAAGAAGAAAAAAATTTCTTAAAATTTGCCTTGAAAAGTGCAAGGAATCACATTTTCACAACACAAATCCCCTTTACACCAAGGAGTTATATTTAAATGAACTCGGTTATTATTTGCTGAGTGACTTGGGTCTGAATATGAGTGTGAAGTAATCAGAAATCACATTTTAAGGAGTAGGTGGGTGCTAATTGATAGTGGGTGATGAATTTTTCTACTCTGTCACAGATAGCTGCCACAGCGCAGATATGTAGAGACCCAAATCACAACAACAACAACAAAAAAAAAAACCTCTGAATTTCATGAACATTAAATCTAGAATTATTGTGAATTGTTTATACCTTGACAAACTGTAATTGTTCTCAGTTATCCTCTTGAGTCTGTAAGGTTAACCACATTGCAGGGATGATTCCCTCAGTCTTGTCTCTGAAAATGTGTCCACAGCTTCTCTTCTTTCCCTCTGCACAGGCCACGGATGGAGTCTCTTACTTTCAGTGACACCAGCTTCCAGCATGACTTTAGGATAGCTGGATAGGATAACTATAGCTAGCTAGCAGCTACTTTCAGATTCCTTACAATTTTTTGTATTGTTCTTTTACATGTGGATGACTTTCTATCTAATAATTAAGGGATTTTGGTAGTGATGATTGGGTGAGCTGGTTTAATCTTGAAATCAGTTCAAGATGTACTCACCAACTCATGCTGCTATTGCATGGATTACAAGACAGGATTTTGTTTTTTTCTCTGTCAGAGATGGTTGGGGTCCAGCAGCCCTTCAAGGTGCTCCCACGTCTGGGTCAGATTATTGCAGTTTGAGCCCCAGTTCCTTCAGTCTGCATGTGAAAGTTTGTTTGGTCAAGATATGGAGGCTAAGTAGCTCCCAAAGGTTAGGACTATGGCTTTTATGTGAACAGAAGCATAATAGAAAAGGTTAGTATTGCAGTAATAACATAGTAATATTGAAAAGCCCTCATACCACTTTTTATCAGTCTTAAAAGTTGTCATGTGGTGCACTGTGCATTGAGGCCATGAAGGAGGCTGTAAATGTGGTTTAAGTGTACAATGCTGTCTGTTTACACTGAAAGAACATTCCGCTTAATGTTCAGACAACCTGCATTTCCACCCTGTCTTGTTCCTCACCTTGTGATCAAACATACAGTATCTTGTTCTTTTAGAGTAAGAGTTCTTCTACCCGTGTGTATCGCAGACTGTCAGCAACTCTCACCCATTCTTAGAGCAGAAAAAAAAGGAAACATATATATGAGTCTTAACTCACATCCCTACTTCCATTTTTTGGTCCTTTAGCGTCACTCACAGCATCCATAAAAATAAACCAGCCTCTCAGGATTGGCAAGGGGTGGACTCAGAGTATCACAAAGATTACACTGATTTCAAATTAAATTCTGACCATTACGTTCTCACGGGGGTGTTGGATTTTCCCAAAAGACCCCCTCAGTTTGTTTTCAGTCCTTACCATGTCATGTATACACACAGAGTACTGTTCTTTTTATGAGCTGGCCCTCAGTGATCTCTGAGCCACTGACAGGCCTTTGGTTCCCTCAGGCTGTATAGACAACCGCGTTATCTGGTGTGATAACATACCAAACCTAACAAACTGAGACTGCTGCGTGACAACCAGAGGCAAGATGAACAGCACTGAGAAGCAGCATGGAAGGAAAAAGTCCACTGGCTGCTCTGTCTTTGAAAGGGGTGCAAAAGTTCAGAATTAACAAGGGCCAAGTTTGACCCTAAAACTGTCTGCAAAAACTGTGAGCACTGGCCTCAGACTCTGTAGGATTAATAAACACCTCAAAATAATATAAGTCAGACCAATAAATCTCAGAGTAATGCAGTCTGTCACAGTCATATTGGTGTGTGTTTAAAAATAAGCTGAAAACTTGATTTTATATGATCTAAAAACAATACACTGAGGGACTTTTTAATGACTTAATCTAAGATTAAGTCCACCAGAGTGCACCCACGCTCCATATCACAAACTACTGTCCATACTGTAGTCAATAAGCAAATATGATTGTCAGTCACTCATTCAGGCAGTCAATCCGTCAGACACAGACAGTCAGGTAAATGTTTAATCCTGCTGCCGACTGTTGAATTTTGCAGCAAGCATCATTTGTGGTGGGTCTCATCAACAACAACGATGAGACAAACTACAGGAGTGAGGTGAGCCGCTTGGCCATGTGGTGCAAGGACAACAATCTCCTCCTGAATGTGGAGAAGACCAAGGAGATTGTAGTGGACTTCAGGAGAGAGCAGGCTCAGCATGCTTCACTAACCATCGATGGTACTGCAGTGGAGCGGGTGAGCAGCGCCAAGTTCCTGGGTGTACACATCTCCCAAGACCTGTCCTGGAACACCAACACCACATCTCTGGCCAAAAAAGCCCATCAGCGACTCTACTTTCTCCGCAAACTAAGAAGAGCAAGAGCCCCGACCCCCATCATGTCCACCTTCTACAGAGGCACCATTGAGAGTATCTTGTCCAGCTGCATCACCCTGTGGTACGGCGCCTGCACCGTTTCCTGCCACAAGACCCTGCAGCACACTGTAAGAGGAGCTGAGAGAATCATTGGTGTCTCTCTTCCCTCTCTACTGGACATTTATAACACCCGCCTCACCTGCAGAGCCATCAGGATTGCAGGTGACCCCACCCACCCATCTCACAGCCTCTTCAGCCCACTGCCGTCGGGGAGGAGACTGCGGAGTCTCAGAGCCAGAACCAGCAGGCTCAGGGACAGCTTCTTCCAGTCAGGATGCTCAACTCCCTCCCTGCTCTGCCCCACTCCCCCCATCCTCTGTCCACCACTGACTCTGGGTTACAGATTCTTTTTGTACTCAATTTGCACTATCCTGTTCTACATTGCACTATTCAACAATCCAACAATCCACTGAATGTTTACTGGACCACAGAATGTCTGCTTTCATATAGTACATTGTACATATATATATTTATTGTAGTATTTAGTAATTTTGTTTACTCATTATGTTTTTTTCTATCTGCCGTTATTGCACTGCGGGTCCAAGAGGACTGTAATTTCATATATGCTGTATGCTGCCGTATAGCATATTTGACAATAAAGCTGACTTTGACTTTGATTTTAATGTTGTTTTCTGTAAGGCTCTGTCTGTACTGTGTAAGCAGCATGGTATAGTGTGAGAAAAGTCTCTCTACATCCACTGAGGTAGTGGGGAGATGGAGGTACAATGCTGCAAGTGGGACAAGAGTGGGCATCCTGTCCTCTCTGGGGGCCCACCACTCCACAGGACTGCCCTTCTCAGCATCACTCTTGTCCATATGGATGTAGCAGTGCCATTCCTCAGCTGACACACCTGAAAGGGCAGGGGCCACCTGGACATAGTCCTGGATGTGTTTTCTCACACCAGCTACTTTTTAAAGAGTTCTAAAGAGCTCCATGCTGGGGTGTGACACCATCACATTCTGCAACTTTGCAGAGCAGTCAGCCATGGTCTTCTGGAAGAGCTCAGTGCAGGTAGCACATCCTCATCCAGCCCCCTCAGCCTTTCTATGGTCCCGGGATGCCAATCCTCAGCACCTACAGTGCGGCCATATTCAAACAGCATGAGGAGGTTCTCCAGTTTGGTAATGGTGGTCTTGATCTCAGTGCTGTGCTCAACAATGAAGATCGCTTGGGCCTTTAGAGTAGCTTCTATCTCTTCTAGCAGCTCTTTCAGGTCCTGAACAGCCTTAGAGGACAGTGGTAAAGAGGGTATGAAGTCACATAAAATATCCAGGTTCTCTGCAAGGTACTGGACAGCTTTAATCCAGGAGCCCCATCTGGTCATCACAGCAAACACTGGCATAACAGGAGCCATGCCCAATGCCTGCATATAGGCCTGCAGCTCTTTGCCACGTTAAGGTGCCTTGCAGAACACTCTCTTCACAATTGCACACACCCTGTCCTCAAATGTATCTGGGAAGACCTGCAGCACCAATTTTAGGAGATGTGCCAGACAAGTGACATGTATGGAGTTGGGGAACAGGCCATAAAGCATGATGTTGAAAGCTTTCTTCGTGTAGCTTGCTGAGTCGGTGACAAAAGCCCATACATCACTAAAATTGATGTTGTTGACATAAGAAATGTCTGCCTGGGACACAGTGTTGAAGTTAACACTGTCGATGAACACTATGGGCTCTATTTTCGTACTGCATTGAATTATATACTCCGTAAACAGTCACACATGATGAAGTTAACAAGATATTTAATTTGTCCCCCTTTCTTTCTCCCTCCTTTTTCTCGCGCGGTTCAACTTGGACATGTCTCCGTGTCCTCTCCCCGTCCTGATGCTGGGGCGGCAAGGCTGAACAGATGATTTATTTTAGTGATCAGATGAGTTATTCACTTCGAAAATGTGAACAAAAAAGTAAAAGAAACTTTCATTCAAAATAACCAGTTTATCTAATGTTCTCACATCCTTAAAATTCTGTGAATATTTAATCTGGAGTTAGGCATTCAGACAAATATAATATTCAGTTGTGTGAGCTAATATCACTTTACATGTCAGAATCCATCGATAAGGTCCTGTCTCCTCTGTACAGCACCATTGTGGAGTCTCTCCTCATTATTGTTCTCCGGGCATCAGGTCCTAACGTTGCACCGGCAGAGCAACATGGTGCAAAACTGAACTGGCCCAAATGATGTCCCACACCCTTTCAGGAGTGTACAACAACGTCCCCGCTGCTGGGCCAAGACAGAGACACCTGCCTTTTAGGAGTCAAACACAGCGCTCAACAGTGGTGCGTGTGTGCATAATGTTGATATGGCGCTCATGCTCTGTGGCAGTGTTTCTGGGCAGAGTTATCAAAAAGGCCTATTCACGAAGGACATAACAAATTTATTTTATTTTATTTATGTCTTAACCCTTAATGTAATCTGGCTGATTGTGCTTAATGACAGGTTTGAAGTTTGTTTATCAATTATTTCGAGACAGACATTTGCTGCACCGCAGATCCACACTGACTCAAACTTGCGTACACAATGTCAGACCTGTCGTGAGATTTGGTCTTGGCGTACGCTCATGTGCAGATTGATAAATGCCTATCCTCACATCAAAATTTTCATACGCAAGGTGAACGCAAGTTTTCTGACGTACGCAAGCTTGATAAATGAGGGCCACTGTGTTTCCCTTCAGCCTGGTCAAATGGAGACACCAATGAGGACACACACTGAGAGCTGCTGAAATCCACAGTTTGAGTCTTTCACAGATGCGTTTCATCCATTGTTCACCACTACTATTTAAGGGCGACTCAATAAATCACTACAACTACAAAACCATCCACCCAATTTCAATTTGTGTTTCTCTTGTGTTACCCCAGGAGATGAAGGTCAGAGAGATTCCACTCCATTCATCACCCAAGACGGTGACAGTGAGCACTACTATGAACGCAAAAACATGGCCCTGTTTGAGGTAAGACAAAACCCCTTCTTTAAATGTGCACTGACAAATGTGATGCGTTTGAAAGTTGATGTGATTTATATGTGCCACACAGGGAAATGTCTTAATTGGTTTTCTAATATGATACCAACCCTTACATAACTAGGTCAAAAACAACTTGATGAGGTTGTTTTCTTGCAACATCTTTGCATTGAAGAAAAGTTTGCTAATAAGAACACCACTGCAATAGAAACACTAGCACCTGTCAAAAATGAGGGTCTACTGAGTTAACCTCTGTAGTAATAAAATGCATTGAGAAGGTCACAGCCAAGCACATTCAAACCAGCCTCCATCCCACACTTAACACTCACTGGTTTGCCTGTAGGACAAAAAGATGCACTGAAGACGACATCTCTATAGCTCTACACACAGTGCACAGAGACCTAGGTGTGGATGCTGTTTGTTGACTACAGCTGGGCCTTCAATACAATAATTCAGGACATATTGAAAGATCTTCATCACCTGGGTTGGCTCAGAAAGAAATAAATCCCCATACAAGGACAAGGTGGTGCACCTGGAATAATCTCTCTCAACACCCATAAAACAAAAGAGATTATCATTGACTTCAGAAGGCAAAGATGTAAGCCAGCCCTACTTTATCTATCTATCACAGAGGACCTGTCCTGGTCATCCGCACTCTGGCAATAGTTTAAAACTCCCAGCATCGGCATTGCTTAGAAAACCAGACTGCTTCAGAATGTGGAACTACTGCAGAAGCTGTTAGTGATTGCATAGCTACTGCATAACCGTATGGTGTGCCATCTGTACAGCAGCTGATAGAAAAGCACGGCAGAGAGTCATTGGGTTTTCTCTGCCCTCCTTGGAGAACATTGCCCTCTCAGTGCCTCCTTAGAGCCAGGAATATCACAAATGGCACCTCCCACCCCTCACTTTACTACCCTCTGGTAGATGGTGTATGAGTGTTAGAAGCAGAACAAACAGATTTGCTAACAGCTTTCTACTTTCTAGTTAACTGCATTGATAAATCATTTTCTAAAATCAAGAAAACCACCTTTTGATCTAAACCTCAACTCAGCTGTATTTTATATCTTGGTGATAGCTGGATTATAAGCATGGTAATATAGAGTACAGTTAAATGATGACTACGTAAATAAAACTCACAACATGGTGGCACAAGAATTAGATGTGGATTGGAGAAGTCATGTCAAGACTAAAACATACAGGATCTGTATTGAACATGTATCTGCAGCATCGGGTATCACACAGCAAATAGGTTGCCATTGTAATCAATGCAGCATTACTTGCAGGACGCGTATCAGCTCCATCGCAGCCCTGTATCAGAAGCGTATCGAGTGCAGCATGCCAAAGATACACAACAAGTCTATTTTTGCTGCTCTGCGCTTCCAACATGTGTCAATCCACACAGAGAAGATCGTCCCAGGCAGGAAGTTAAGCACGAAAACCGCGCATGTCATCTGGTATTTCAAAATAAAACACCATATGCAAACCCACGACTGCGTATCAGTTCATTCTCCATGCTCCAAATACGCATCCTGCATGCCATACTCAGGGCTGCTCTATGGAGCAAATATGGAACGTGCTCAATACAGATCCTGTATGTTTTTGGCTTCACACATATACAGATTGGCTTGTTATATTTCTATTGTGGTGTTTGTCAAAGTTTACTTCTTCTTTACATATCAAAATGGCCAAAATCTTTTCAAAATGTTATGAATACAAACAGTAAGTTGTTCTTGAAAAAAATAAATTAATATTCCAAGCTAAAATGGCATAAAACATTTGTCATTGTTTTACTACTGGTCATTTTTGATGGATAACTTATTGCTGTGTCCAGAAATGGTACTGATTCCCATCCACATTTAATAGATGTTGTTGTGTTGTAAATTCCTCTCTATCTTTTTGTATTCCAGCTTTGCCATCTTCAGTCTCCTCTTCAACTCTTTTTGCACTTGTTTGAGTTGTTCTTTGTCACCATCTTTAAAAGCTTTCTTTTTCTGGTTAACAATTGCTTTTATGTCACTTGTGATCCAGGGTTTGTTGTTGGGGAAGCAGCGAACAGTCTTTGTCGGTATAACTGTGTCTCTACAGAAGTTGATGTATTCAGTAAAGCAGTCAACCTGTCTGTCAGTGTTCATACTATCCACATATGTTTCCAGCATCACAATCCAGTCTGTCGATTTAAAACAGTCCCTTAGAGCTTCACTGGCTTGAGGTGTCCATCTTCTGATTTTGACTTTGGTCACAGGCTGCCTCAGTACCCAAGGTCTGTAACAGGTTTGCAGATAGACCAAGTTATGATCTGACTTGCCCAGTGGTGGTATGGCAGAGGCTCTGTAGGCTTCTTTGACGTTGGCATACAGCAGATCCAGGGTTTTGTTTTCTCTGGTAGGACAGTTGACAAACTGTGTGAATCCAGTCAAGTGAGAGGAGAGGGTGACATGGTTGAAGTCTCCTGATATTATTATTAGTGCCTCAGGGTGTTTAGTCTGTATCCTGGCAACAGTATCATGTAAAACATCGGATGGAATTTCAGCCATTGATTTGGGTGGAATGTATACAAGTATCGTTATGATTTGACTGAAGTTCCTTGGAACATATATGGGCGAAGAGCTGCCAACAGTTCTATATCTGGATAACTACAAAACACAATATAAATACACAAAAAATTACTCAAGACCAGTTCTTGGAAATATTTGTATTCTAATAAAAAAGCAGAATTGAGTAAACATGTAACAGTGTTTACTTTAGGACCCTCACTCAAAACGCAGTATTTAACCTCTAGTCTCCCTCCTAGCACAGTAAAACCTCTGCAAATGATCCAGCAGTAACCACAACTGCCCCTGTTTTCTGGAACCCCTCATCCAGGTCTTAACCCCATCTTGCCCACTGTGCTCAGCCACGGAAAGACGCCTGGCACTTTCAGTACATCAGGCTCCTAAGTCAGTGGACTCATTTCTTCTGTAGTCCCTACATGGTGGAATGAATAACCCCACTATATTTGATCTGCAGAGTCCCTGTCTACTTTCAAAAGACTCAGCTCTTTAGAGAACTCTATGCACTTAGCCAGACTACTCTCCACTGTTGTCCTCAGTGGTTGATTGAGTCTTCAGCCACAGTTGACTCACACGTACTGCTCTACTTCTGGAATTTGGTGCCCAGTTCTTTGTGATCAATCAATGAATCAAATTTTATTTATATAGCACCAAATCACAACAGTTGTTATCCCAAGATGCTTTCCAAAAAAAAAAAAAGAGCAGGTCCAGACCATGCTCATTGGTCGATGAATTACCAGGACCCAATCTTAAGATGGGACAGATTTGTGAGTGACCCAGAACTTTGTATTTTGGTCATTGGTGTGGTGAGGACAATTTTAATTTGATGGTGATGATGGTTGGTCTTACATTGATAAAAGGGTTGCTTCATTGTTGATGTTCATAAAAAAGAAAGATCCTTTATACACTGTGCATTGCCTTTACCACAGTTTGAAGTACCTGCTTCCAATTAGACTTGAAGCTCTTTTTAGCTCTCACTGATCTTGTTTTCTCTTGTCTAGATCTTTGCTTGTGTTGTTCTTGTCCTCAATGTACGTCCCTTTGAATAAAAGTGTCTGCTAAAAGACTATGTAACATACAGTAAGTGATGTTTTTAGATAAAGTCTGAGACATCAATAAATATGCAAGCAGTGGAGCTATAGACTGCTTGCAACAAAACTGTGTGGTTTCTCTCAGTGTTGAAAGGGAGCTGGTCCAGCACACACCAACAGGACTCCTAAATTCAGCATACAAGGACCTTTTTTCGTTTTTCCAGGACCTATTACTTGCCAACAATACCCCTTACTGTCCTCCTCCTATTAAAGTTAGTCTCTGTAATTCATCACAGCAACAAAAACCCATTATCCATGGTGCACTTCATGATATCTGACATACTTTCACAGGCTTGTCTGTTTTACCCGCATAAGAATGTCAAATAAATAATAACACTGTATCACCAAAGTTGTTGTACAAAGTCTATTTAACATGATAAAAAAATGGGAAAGGAGCATGTTGATAAAGGGGTTAGAATGTTTGTTATGAACCCAGTATAATCTTCTTATGTATTTTATTTACTGTAAATTCAGTGTTATACTGACAACTAACTGATGCTGGCTGTATGATACACATACCAACAAGGCAGGAAGGGATGAACCAACCTTTCTTCTTTCAGGTTTTACCACACAGATGTTGGTATTGATTGAAAATAAGGTCAATATTTTATTTTCCCTGTCTCTGTAGGAGGAAATGGACAGCACCCCCATGGTGTCATCTCTCCTCAACAAGCTGGCCAACTACACCAACCTTACTCAGGGTGTCCGTGAACATGAGGAGGCTGAGAATGAGGAAGGGGTCCAGAGGATCGCTGTCATGGTATGGACCAAATTTTCTGAGTAGTGGAATAAGTTGAAAGTCCAGAGTCTATGTAGTTTGGTATGTGATTTATCACTTTTCAGTTTTGGCAGCCAACAATCGTGCAGTCTAGCAGATTTGATGGATGGTAAACATGAAATGTATTGTCTGAGAATCTGTGAAAGAAAAGGCAGGATGATAAATATCAGCAGCTAACCTTAAGAGATAATTTTAGATAACAGTTGTCAGACTTCAGTGGAGTGTAAGTGTTCTGTGAAAGTTTTTTGTTGACTTTGATCATCGGGACGATATCACGAGGAGAGTCAAGTCTCAGTCTTCTGAAGAATGAACTTCATTCAAGCAAAGAGAAGTGCCATTTTTTTAAGTCTTTGATTGTAAGCTTCAGACAGGACTACCTTGTTTTTTTATTTTAAAAACTTTTTTAGTATGTAGTACAGAGATATAAGGTGAACTGCTCGCCAAGGTGCTCAGTGACATGTGAATAGATGATGTGCATGGGTCAGGAGGGGTCATACGCATTGGTCTTGCATCCCCACTGCATGACAAATGTACAGAAAATATCTTGGCAACTTCTGAGAAATCACTGATTCAGTTCAAAAGAAGATCTGTGCGTTGAACAAAAGTGAATTTACAATGTCTTCCAGAGTTTTTAGTTTGCCAGGGCTACCCAAGACTTACATGAAATTGTTGAAAAAAGAGCATCAGCTGAAACAAATGCATTGTTGAGACATGTTTCTCATACATATGTGAAATCAAACACCAAATCTCAGGTATGGTGTCACTGATGAAAATTTAAGATTTAAAAATGAATATGAGGTTGTTGTTGAAGGCCAGCTAACTCTATGGAACGATTTAACTCAGACAGTAAAGGAATCATCAGATTTCTGATATGGCTGTGATTATGATTAATTATTAAGCTAACATAATACTGTCTTGTAACACACACTGAGATGTGAGGCTTTGACTGTGGATGAATTTTCTCATACCAGTTCAATCACTATTAGGCATATACTGGAAAGATTAGATGAATATTCCTGGGCATGCAGTTTGTGTGTGTGTGTGTGTGTGTGTGTGTGTGTGTGTGTGTGTGTGTGTTGGGGGGGGGTAATCATACATCCCTCTTTTTTCTGAGGGGCCTTTGGGCAGCTCTCAAGAAGCCGGGGATGTGGACTTTTTTTTTTAAAGGGAGATTTTATAGATTTGCCTGCTTATTTGTCATACACATCGAACTTAAAGTTTGTTTTTGTTTTTAAGGGAAATTTAGATATGGTTCAGGATGATATTTTGCATCCCTCAGATGCCAAGTTATGATGCTAAGATTTCTGATTATGAATACAGTCATAATACAACAGTAATATTTTTCCCACAGTGTTAACAGGCAGAGTTAAAAATGTGCTGAGATCACAGATCACATGCCACCCCAAATTATCACAGACAGTGTAACCTTCATGCTGGACTTCAAGCACCTTAGATTCTCGGCCCCTCTGATCTTCTTCCAGACTCTGGGGCCTTAATTCCTGAATGAGATACAAAATGTACTTTCAACAGGACTTTGAACCACTTAGTCCAGGTGAGACTCTTATGATGTTGTCTCTGTTTCAGGGTTGTCTTGACATCAGGAACATGACACCTGTAGTCCATTTCTTGGACACTTTCTAAAGCTCTGACTCAAGCCTAAGTCTGCGCCTTATAAAGCTCCTCTAAGTTTTGGACTCGAGTTTATTTGACAATCCTCACAAGGCTGCCGAGTCGCTCTGTGAATAGCCAGCCTCTTCAGCAGTGGCCCTCTTTGTCTTACCCTCCTTGAGGAGGAGGAGGATGTCCATGATAGTCCCTCTGGACAACTGTCAGATCAGCAGTCTAAACCACGATTGTGGTTGTGTGAACTGAACTAGAATAAAGGCTCAGTAAACCTTTGCAGGAGTTCCGAGTTCATTAGCTGATTTGAGCTCTTTCCAGGAGTGAAATACTGGACTTTTCCACATTATTCAGATGTTTTAAACTGCAGCTTAGAGTAAGCACATTTTAACAACAACGTAAGATATAATGCTCTAGCTGTTTGTCAGTTTCTTTACAATGAATAAATAATGTTGATTTATTCCCATACTGATAAAGACAGGATGGATTTTTAGAACTGTAGGGATAGTCACCCTTCCAGAGGTAAATAGGCCTTATCTACCATGTTAAGAGTCCCTAATTCTTCAAACTCCAATAACTGCAGTCATGATGGGGAAGTACTTGATCCTAAAAATACCAGATCCAGCCTGTTAAGTGCCCACCATGTCTAAACAGTAAAAATCACAAAACCACAAACAACAAATCATGGTGTTTGTACCACACTAATGACGGCAGTAACAACGTGCACAGTCTCACTGCTTTATGGAGAGTTAGGACTACATAAAGTCCATCATGTCTAATTTTATGAAATTATTGGGGATGTTTCCAACAGTCTTTTCTCCTTGTTAGTCTCACTAACTCTGAATACGCATGGTCTTCAGTATAAACAAAGTCAGGAACAAGGACCGTGAATTTGTCTGCAGGCATTGCTGATGATACTGCGAGACCCGCCCCTTGAATAGTAGCTGGAGGAGATTTGAAGCTTGAGACTCAAGCATAAGACAGACAATTCAAGGAGTTTAAAGGGAAGCAGAAAACAGACTTGAGGGACACACAAGAGGAAATGTGGGAGATCTGGAAACCACCATCAGGAGCCTCACAGCATTTAGACAAACTGGGTGTAGCAGAGAAAGGAATGAAAAAAGTGGTAGTACCACGGAAAATGGTATGTACTCTCAGATATGTGGATGTGCATGTTTGGATTTCTGCTGTGATACATGCTGCAAAGATAAAAGTGATTTTATAGAAGAGGCATCAAGGACATTAAGAGATGTGGATCAATTACAGTATTATGACATTGCATGAGTACTCTGCAGGATGTGAACCATTTTGTAGCATGCAGTTTGAGTTTTTTCCACAGTTTCAAAAACTCCTAAATAAGAGAAGGTGTAGGTCTTTGAAAGCTCTCCTCATAAAACTTAAAAGCATATAACTGTGATTTAAAAATACAGTTTTATTTCATTTGACTTGTTCAAATGGGCCTTTTACATCTAAAAATAACCTTAAAATTAGCATTCAGCACATCAGCTACAACCCTAGGATTAAGTCTGCAATGGATTAATTTCAATTTAATATCTTACAAATTAATTTCTGACTTTCACTGAAGCAGCAAAGAAAAAAAAACAATCACTTTTGTAAATGGCAGCTGCACCATAAATGTCAAGCTAACTGTTATTTTATTTCATTTCACTTTCTTTAATTTAGTCATTTATTAGTTGAATTTGTAATGAAGAAGTTGAGCCTCTCGCTGGATATTTGAGCTTGATGTTATTTTTCTAGGCTTAGTTTTTATTTCAGTATCATCAGCTTTAACAATTATTTAATTTAAAAAGAGTGAAGAAATAATATTGTGATATTTCTATTTAAAACTCCTGCAGGCATTCGTGAAAAAAATGTTATCTCTTACTGCCTAAAACAAAGAGCAGGTTGAGACAGTGCTCCATGTCTATAGTATTTACAAAGACCTGACACAAAGATGGGATCAAATACAATCCTATTTTACAGACTCAGTCTTTATAAATATCATGCCAAATAATGGATGGCAAACAACATCTCACAACTTAATACAGTCAAGTCCTTCATTTCAGCCAAAATATAGCAGAGATTCATCCATGTTTTTATTGACCTGCCTCCAGTAGTGCAACTACACTATACACGTCTAATCTATCCACCACCTTCGGACAGTTCAAAACACAATAGCTCTTGTTCTTACCAGGACAAACAAATCTGCCAACACCGCTCTGGTTTTAGCTTCCCTACATTTGTTTACATGTTGATTTCAGATTCTCGCAGTCACATTCCCCTAAAAATTATTAAACCGCTGTTAAAAAAAGCTTTATGAGAGTAAAAGCAAACCCTTCCATCTTTCATATCAACAGCACTTAAAACAATATATGGCAATTTAATTATTTGAAAACAAGAAAACTAGGAAACTTTTTTCTTCAGAAGTATTACTTATTCAAAGCATGCAAGGACTTCTATTTAAAGGCATTCTAGATGCAGGTTTTTCAAGGCCAGATTTAGGGATTTATCCTGACATTCGGGTGTACCAGGAGTGTGTCCTGGTTCGATTGACTGGGGTGGCACAGATTATGCAGGGGTGGCGCAAGTTATGTGCATACACAAACACATAGAAACAGACACAAAACATGGAACTTCTTTAATTTTTTTTTCAAATACAGACAGTCAATGATGTGCCTGCTGTCTGTTAATGACACTTTGAAATACTTGTGTACAGTCATGTGGGATGTATTACATTCATACATGCTGGTACATAAGCTGTGAATGCATTCACATGTTTGACACTTCTGCCAATGATAAACTGGCAAGATTTTCATGTCTGCCAATATAAAAATTAACCCTTAAAGCTGTTGTCTGTCAAAGCAAGGTTCTAACACAGAGCTGATAACAGTAATGTTGCAAAAAAAATGATTAACATCAAACCTTGAACTGATGTCACCCAGGAAGCCATTTGTGCCTTCATTATCACCATGTATCAGGAAGAGTTTACGATGAAAATAAGTGAGATGCATGGAAACAGAGAAGATTTGTTCCCATGGTGCACTTGTTGCAGATAACTGACAAAACTGACATTGCACCCCACAACTAACTCAGCTTCGTAGTAGTTTATTGCTCATATTTTGGAAGAAGATGGATGGATTTTGAAATAGGGATGATGATTTTGTTTAATTGAAGTTAGCCCTAAGTTCGTTTCTCTCATCTGTCCAGCATGTTCTCACCTGTGGCGGTTTGTTGTGTTTGTCTACCAACAGCTCCCTCGGATGGGGACCTTCATTGGTGTTTACCTGCCCTGTATGCAGAACATCCTGGGCGTGATTCTCTTCCTGCGTCTCACCTGGATCGTCGGCACAGCAGGAATCCTTGGTTCTTTCGCCATCGTGTCCATGTGCTGCATCTGTGTGAGTCACTGATGAGTCCATGTGAACATATAGTTAATTTCCCTTTACAGACAATCCCGGGAAAAGGTTGGCAGGAAGAAAATGTTTCTGACTAAGTTCATTTGGTAAATCAGATGCATCATTTTACTTCAGAGGATGTGTCAAGGGGCAATAAAGTTGTGGTAGATGACAGGAGAAAACACAGACAGAGTCCCTCTTGGCCAGTGTTTATCTCAAACATGTTATTTCATTCAGGCCTTTAGACGATGATTGAGTAGGAGATTTACTGCTAGTGAGACCCCCCCCTCTGGATTTATGGTGTTGAATCATGACAGCATCACTATCTCTGAGCTCAGCACAGATTCCTTTTAATGGGCAGAAAATTCATTTTATCTACAACTGCAGCTTTTACGTCAGCAGCCCCACATGGCCAAACAGAGAGCTGACTGTTTATAAAGTTTGAACCAAATTGCTCCACACTCGTGATGTGATATGAATAATCTGCTCCTAAGCCCCCCTCCCTGTATTGTTCCTGTTTAATGAACTCTGTGTGCTTATCTTTGATGTTGTTACTCTGTCTATCTAACTTATCTAATACTCTTGTTAGCCTCCTTTGATTGCATTTTACTTTCCATTGTCATTACTGCACAGAAATGCCACACTAAGCAGAGTGCACAGTTCTTACTCCTTTTTTTCTCTATCCACCATCACTCTTTCCTGCAGACCTTACTCACAGCCATATCAATGAGTGCTATTGCAACCAATGGAGTTGTCCCTGGTAAGTCATGAAATAATGCATTAATTTTTATATACTTTTTTTCACAATTTTTTCCACTAGAAGTACCTAAACACAGTGTTAATTTCCACTTTAAAAAGCATATAGTGCAAACTCAGCGAAGTGATTTAAACTTACACCATATGACTATCATAGATACATTATTGTGATTGCACTACCAGGACTGTCAATACCGTTTTTTTTATTACAATAAATGGCAAAATTCTAATAACATAGTACAATTGATAACATTTTTTATTGCATGATTAAAATTACATTACTTTGCTGGAGCATGAGCGAGAGAGCGAGCATGAGCGAGTCCCTACTCCTAAAAATGACTGAAGCACTTCACGAGGCAAATAAAACAATCACCATACTCAAACTGCGTATTCAAAAACTGTCCGATGAGCTCAAAACAAAATCTACATTACTCACAACCTGCATGGATGTGGCCCACCAGCAATCCCTCCACCTGTTCTCCCTCCAAGCAACCCTCCAGGACACGCTACCCTGGGAGCCTCACAGCCCGAGGACCTCGTCCCGGCCGCCATCTGCCACAGCACCCAACCAGGACTCAACATGGACTGAAGTGACCACTCGAGGCAGGAAAACCACCAACACCATCTCCTGGAACCCAGCCAGGCCTACCTTGAGCTCCACGCCGAGCAATCCACTCACCCGGTCCGAGGTCCTCGCCAGCGGTAGGACAAATCCCTCCAGTCCAGTTGTCCCTCTCTAACCGCTTGGGGCCCCTTGAGCATCCTCCTAAGCCTGCCAACACCAGCATGAACCAGTCCCCTCTCGGCGGTGACGTGGTGGCGTCCTCCACAGCGGCTGCCGGAGCTCCCATGGCTCCTACACGGCCACCAGGCGGAGCCCCGGGCCTTTGTCCTCGTCCTCCGGTGCCTTCGCGGTGTGCCAGCCCTAAGATCGGGCAGCCTCCGCTCTTCTGGTGACCAGTCATCTTCTTCCACTACCCCACCTGGAAACAGAGCCCCCCCCTCCGAAACCCTCGCCCTCACCACCCCCACACAGGCTTCCCCAACTGGCCCCAACTGGTACTGAACCCCAATCCCATCGTCCCCACTACAGCAAGCTCCCCCTCCTGGTCCAAACAGCTACTGCACCCTCCAACCACAGAGTCTCCTTGCCAATCTGCCATCTCACCAGGATCTCGCCACAGCTTCTTCATTCAAACAATTACAACTACTGGACCCTCCTGCTCAAATCCCATGCATCTAAAAAGAAGGACAAGAAATCAAATAAACCTCCGCTGCCTTCCCCCTGCCTCTCTGCCCACTCCACAGCCCCCTCCACTGAAGATGGCCCTTCAAAACACAAGGACACATCCTGGCTGACTTCATAACAGACAATAACCTGGACTTCCCCTGTCTAACTGAAACCTGGCACAACCATCTCGACCTCTTTCCATTCAACCAAGCCCCCCCGGTTCCACGCCTCACTGGACGAGGTGGTGGCGTCGCAGTCATCCACAAACAAACCACCCCCGTCCCCACCCTGTCTGTTCACTCATTTGAAAATATTTCTGTCAAAATCCCCGGCCCCACCCCTCTGGTCATTGTCACCATCTACTGCCCTCCAAAGCCCCACCCATCATTCCTCACCCACCTAAGCACCATCTCATCCTCTATCCTGCTGCTTGGAGACTTCAACTTACACATCGACAACCCCACCTGCAAAAAAGCCACCGATTTCCTGGATCTGCTCGACACCCTCAACCTCACCCAGCACGTACACTCCCCCACCCACTCCCACGACCACACCCTTGACCTCGTCTGTTCCACCGGCATCTCCATCCACCATCTCTCCACCATCAACCTCTATATATCTGACCACCTGGCTGTCACTTTCAATGTCAGCACTCTCCCGCTTCTCACCTGTTTCTTCAACCGACGTGACCAATATCGTCTGCTCCATGTCATCATCCACCTGCATCCTGGATCCCATCCCATCCTCCCTCATCAAACACTGCCTCCCCGTCATCTCTCCCATCATCACACAGATCATTAACTCCTCCTTCAACTCTGCCACTGTTCCCCCTTCACTCAAACTGGCCGCTGTCACCCCCATCCTCAAAAAACCTGGACTCAACCCTGACGACATCAACAACTTCCGGCCCATCTCCAACCTCCCTTTCCTGTCAAAAATCCTTGAACGTGTCATTGTATCACAAATCAAAGCCCACCTCAACAATAACAACCTTTACGAACAGTTTCAATCAGGACTCCGCACCCACCACAGCACTGAAACCGCCCTCATCAAAGTCACCAACGACCTCCTCATTTCTGCTGACTCCGGCCAACTCTCCATCCTCATCCTCCTTGACCTCTCCGCCACTGTCGACACCATCGACCACGCCATCCTCCTGTCCCGCCTACACGCCCTCCTCAATATCACAGACACCACTCTTAACTGGATCCACTCATATCTCACAGACCGGAATCACTTCATCCACATTAACAACTGCTCCTCCACAACTGCCCCCATGTCCCAAGGTGTCCCCCAGGGTTCGGTGCTTGGTCCCCTCCTCTTCATCATCTACCTCCTCCCTCTTGGCCACATCCTCTGTCAACACAATCTCCACTTCCACTGCTACGCTGATGACATTAAATCATACATCTCTTTCACCTTCATCACCCCCCAGACCCAACGCTCCCTCTCAAACTGCCTCTCTGATACACTGGATGGACAGCAACCTTCTGAAACTCAATTACGACAAAACAGATCTCCTCATCATCGGCCCAAACTCCCTCACCTCCACAGTCATAGACTTTCATCTCTCCATTGACAACTCCACCCTCTCCCCCTCCTCCCACTGTCGCAACCTTGGTATTCTCTTCGACAGCAAGCTCTCCTTCACCCAGCACATAAAGCAAATCACCAAAACAGCCTATTTCCACCTCAAAAACATTGCCCGCCTCCACCCGCTCATCCAGAGCTCTGCCGCCCCCCCCCCCCCCCGCACACTCCACTCCGCCAATGCCAACCTCCTCACAGTTCCCCTTCCCCTGACCAGAGCCTTCTCAGTCGCTGCCACCCTCTGGAACTCACTCCCACTGGACCTCAGAAACTGCACTGACCTCAACAGATTCAAGACCGTTCTATAAACCCACCTCTTCCGCACTGCCTTTCATCCTCCATAGCCCCCCCCCCCCCCCCCCGGGGATTTTACATGATTTTAAATGATTTTATTGATATTGATGAATATTTTATTGTATATTGATGTGTGTTTTATTGCTCTTGCTTTTACTCATGTACAGCGTCTTTGCGTTCTTGAAAAGCACTTTACAAATAAAATGTATTATTATTATTATTATTATTATTATTATTATTATTATTATTTCTATTATTATTACAACAGTTTTTTTTTTTTAACTTTTTTTTAAGTTAACAGGTGTGATGCAATTTATTCCAAACAGACCCCAGACCCTCACAATGCCAACTGGCCGCTGTAGCCACTCTGCCCCAGAGTTGCTCCTAGAGTTGCTTAGGCATTGCTGTTGCAAACAACAGTATGACCTGCCTTTGTTGAGGGAAAGGAGGGCTCTCTTGGCCAGTAGGAGGTGTTTAAAACCAGACCAGTGGTAACTTTAATTTTTCAAAGTATATGACACACTGAGGGTGAACTCCTGCATGTCAAGAACATTCATGTCAAAAGGACTTAAACTGAAGAATATGCTATCATTGTGTTATCGATGTGTCAACATTGACGGCTCTAATAAATACAGTTATCACAGCCAAGGACGCTTATCCCTGAACCACAGCGGTTTGAGTAATTGAAGAAAATTGATGCTGAAGAAGCAAAAAAGGCAGTTAGTGGACTCTGGCCCTTCAGCCCTCAAATGTAGGAATGTAGAGGGTAGAACTTAAGTCCTTACTAGAATAAATCTTTTATCAGAATTTCCATGACAATGTTTTCTAGTTTTCTAACCATGTTTTAATTTTGTAAAGCTGGTGGTTCCTACTACATGATCTCCAGATCTCTGGGTCCAGAGTTTGGAGGGGCAGTGGGTCTCTGCTTCTACCTGGGAACCACCTTTGCTGGATCTCTGTACATTCTGGGCACCATTGAGATTCTGCTGGTATGTCAGAAACAGGAGGTCAAACACAACAATATTAACTTCTGCTGTGCATTTATGATACACTCTCTCCCCTCCTCCTGTCCTCTCTGAGACAGATGTACATCGTTCCAACAGCACCCCTGCTCGAAAAAGGCACTGACTCAGCAAGGCCCAACAGCATGCGTGTTTATGGTACAGGCTGCCTGCTCCTGATGGCATTAGTGGTGTTTGTAGGGGTGAAGTGAGTACGCAAAAATTCACAAAAATATAGCATACATTCACACCAAATAACAGAGTCAGATTAATCCCTCATCCTCTTGCAGGTATGTGAACAAACTGGCTCTGGTGTTTCTGTCCTGTGTTTTTCTCTCCATCATGGCAACTTATGCTGGGGTCATCAAGACGGTCATTGGACCCTCAGAGTTTAAGTGAGTTTTCAACATTTAAAGAGCTCTTCTAATGAAGCATTTACTTACTGAGAGCATTTGAAAAATGTTTGGTGCAAATGAATTAGAACCCACGTCAGCACCCATAGCTGTGTTGGTTTTGGAATAAGGTGCACTCAGATACCAGGGTGGCTTGTCTCTGTCTTGAGGACACAGAAAGTGTCTAAACCTTGGACCAATAAAATCTAGTCTTAAGCCTGGAGTCCATGGCCCAGGGTTTCCCTTGATATTTAGAGGGTGCATTGGTGAGATAGCAGGATGGTCATAAGATTTCACAAAATGCTTTCTTGTTATTCTTACTCATAGAGACACACCATCAGTACAATAATACTTTGTTTGATAACATGCAAGTCTGACTGAAATTGCACCAAATGAAACTTCTCATACTAAGGGCACATTCACACCACCCTCGTTTAGTCCAGTTGAACCGAACCCTGGAGCGTTAACCCTCTTGGTGCGGTTCGTTTGGTTCGGTGTGAACGCTGACCTCGAGCTCTGGTGCGGACCAAATAAACGAACTCTGGCTCGCTGGCTAAAGAGGCGTTCATACATGCAATCGACTAGCGTCTTTTGATACGTGCTCCAGATAAGTAGCAAAAGCAAAATCAGCCGACAATGCTCCATGACAGGTGAAGACAGCAGAGCAGGGTTTGTATTACTGCATTAACTGATGACCAATAACCGAACGATATTTGCGGTGACTTCCGGTTCAGTTTTCTGGAGCGATTGAGTTTGTCCTTTGTGAACGCAAACCGGATCAGTTAAACAATCAAAACAAATGTATTGTTTTGCCTTGGATTCGAATCTGGAAACGGACCTTTAGGTGTGAACACGAACTAAGACTAATACAGAAAGATTGCATACCAGACCTTGACCCAGAAGTTGAATATCATAAATTTGTTTCCTGAGAGCTGGGTCAGAAACAAAACCTGTACAAAAGAAGGTAGTATTTTAAGTAAAGCTACAGAACTGCAAAAATGGTGGTGTTTCTATAGTTTGATCTAAATCCCATATCAAATTCCATGTCAAAGTGTTTGTATATTGTTTAGGGACATGGTGTTGGGACATGGTGTTGTCGGCAAACTGGCAGACAGCCCAGTATAAATAAGCCAAAAAGGGACATGCCACCACCTACCATAGTTGAGGTGACCATATTTATGTTAGAAAATCAATTTTTGCCTGGTCCTTGCAAACAAGGAATTTAGTCTGGTTAAATCCTCTAATACAGCTGTAATTGTAACTCTGTGTAACCGTGCTTAAGGTAAGCTAATGTATTCCTTTAGTCCCACAGGGGAAAATTCCAAATTTACAGCAGCACTTAAATACAAAACTAAAGAGTTAGAAAATATATATGCATGTAAACATGCATCATGTTACAGTATTCTGCCAATCTCAGAGCTAGTAGACAAAAATACCCTCATTAGTATCTCTTTGAAGACCACAATCATAACACGTCACGGGCAAAGTACCCAAGACGGAGACCATTACCAAGCTCTTCATCATGCCCACTCCCAAATGAAACACAGATATGCTGAAATATAACCAAAAGGTATTTTTGCAATCCTTGTACCTAGGGGTGTGCCATATCATACCATGTACGGTAATACAGGTGTACATTTTTTGATGATATAAATTTGTTATATTGCTGTATTTACACTGCAATAAAAAAAAACAGTCGGTGGCAAGACATTACCAAAGTGGTTACGTATTGTTAGACCAAAGACAGGAAGCCGATTCAGGCTTTTGGAAAGGAAGGCTTTGAACACTTGATAAAAAATCGACCCAAGATTCACAATCCCAGGTAGAAAATATTTTTCAAAAACATCTTTGCCTGCAATGTACGTAGCATGCTGCAACCAACTGGCTTCTACCCTCTCATCAGTGGAGTTTTTTGCCTGTAAGACTGTAATGGTCGAGCCAAACGTCCAAACCCTGTATCAGCCTGATGGACTTTTAATACCACCAACCCTCATACCCATAACCACAGATACTATCAGAGATTGAACAGTATCTGTACTGTTCCACATGTAGTGTGGATTACAGCCATTTGATCCTGTGGAAAAAATTAAAAAATAGCTTATCAAGTTCAAAAGTCTAACTTTCTTTGGTGGGAACTACACAGGACATCATCAGATAACAAGTCCAGTTTCTTAAGATTTGTAATTGATTGAAGTCACTTTTGTTTCTGCTGTTCAGAGGAATTGTTTCAATGTATTAAGCATTAATCCATTGACGTATTTCATACAGTGATCTGTGTTTTTTTCTGTGTTTTTAGAGGCATGGTAGATGTTAATAGTGAAATGTCTCAATGTCAAATTAAGTATTTCAGTTTACAAAGAATTTAATGTCATAATGTCAAACTGACAACCTGCGCTTGCCCCTTTGAAGGCCTCAATGGCTAAAACATGTAGGCATGTCTGACTTCGCAGCCCTGAGAATTATGGGCTTTTTATCACGAGTGATTAAGAGGTTTCCAAGACATTTACATTGATTGATTTGTTTCATGTTAGATATAAAACATGTCCATTAGAAATAAATCTTATTCACACAGTCAAATTGGCACTGGCTGTCCAGCTCCATCTCACGGTCCTCTCCTTTCTTTCAGAGTCTGTCTGCTGGGTAACAGGTCTTTGAGGAATGATCAGTTTGAAACCTGTGCAAAGACTATGGAGGTGAAAAACAACACTTTGACCACAGATCTGTGGGAAATCTTCTGTGACACTAAATATCCAAATTCAACCTGTGACCCATTCTTCACCATGAACAACCTGACAGAGATCAACGCCATACCTGGGCTGACGAGTGGAGTCATCAAAGGTAATGGAGAGGAAGGACTTTAAAGTGATCCCAGGCTTGTCGCAGTTTGTGCTACCTCTAACACTATCCATGAATATGAACCTTAATGTTTGTTCTGTTTTTCTGTTAGACAATCTGTGGGGGGACTATGCTCCAGCTGGTGAGCCCATACAGAAGAAGAGCCTACCCTCAGTACAGGACCCAGACACAGACACAGACACAGACACGACCAAACCCTTCGTCTTCAATGACATTACCACCTTCTTCACTCTACTGGTGGGAATATATTTCCCCTCTGTCACAGGTAGAGGACCTAATTTTCTAAACACGAGACAAATATCAGCCTTTCATAAGTCTAGAGTTACATCTGAGGCATTGACTAGTCAGCTTTTAACATTAAATCTAAAGTTTTATCCCACATGTTTTTCACTAAAGCTGACAGTAACTCACATTTGTGCCACACTGTCAACAGGAAGAGGTAAAATTGAAAACTTTCGAAGTGTGCCACACCTCCTTCCCAAGATTGACTTGTCATTGTTTTTGTTGAGCATTAATAACTGGGGTATTGTGGGGTTTTGACCAAACAGAGTCCAGCATTTAACACAGCCAGGTGATAAGTAAGAAAACTGGGTGAAAACTCAAAACAAGACAACAATTTAAAGAAATCATGTTTTAAGTGCTGTTCTGCACAATAAGTATTTGCTTTCTGAATACAACACATATACTTTGTTTCTAATAATAATGATGAACACTACTTACTCTGACTGATTGTGCTTCATTGCAGGCATAATGGCTGGTTCTAACAGGTCTGGTGATCTCAGAGATGCTCAGAGGTCCATCCCCATAGGAACCATCATGGCTATTCTAACCACCTCCTTCATCTGTATCTTTAAGACTGAGCTCATACATATGAACATAAACAGAAACGTCTGAACTTAAACCCATAAACACATGGAACAAAAAGACTAACTTTAGCAGTTTTATTCTACTGTATTTGTGTTATTATGTCACAGATTAAACTTTGAATGCAAAGTCAACACAAATTGAAACTGGTTCCATCTTAACATCTGGCACAGACATCTCCTGTGTGGTTTTATTTGGAGCCTGTATTGAAGGAGTGGTGTTAAGAGACAAGTGAGTGTGTTTTCAATTTACCCCTAACTCAATGCCAAGGAATATTACTTTATTTTTTTTTTTTTGAGACTGTTAAAAAGAGTACAGACAGTGGGGACATAAAATGAATAATGATACTTTGTATGCCGCCAATTATTGTAAAAGGCTGATAAAAAGCAAGCTATTTGGCCTCAGTAGGTGTCATCATACCACTGTATACAGTCCCGAGCAGTCCTCATGTACCTGTTCATGCCTGTGGGTGTTTCAGGTTTGGTTTCTCAGTAAAGAAAACCCCTGTCATTGGTGTCCTGGCCTGGCCATCACCCTGGGTGGTCGTGATTGGATCATTTTTCTCCTGCTGTGGGGCGGGGCTACAGAGTCTTACTGGTGCCCCCCGACTCTTACAAGCCATCGCTCGGGACGGTATCATCCCGTTCTTGCAGGTCAGTTTTGATGGGAATTGGTTTGAGTGTGGGTCTTCTATAAACCAGGCGTCCTACAAAAATGTGCAACTGCATGAAACAAGCTCAACGGTAAAGAAAGTGTAAAGTGTTTTGCAATATTTAGCAGCTTTTACTGTTTTAAATTCTTGGTTGAAATGCTCCTCTGCCCACCCTCTATCATCTTACAAAATGAAACATTGTTGACAGCCACCCAAATAACAAAATGCCCATGTTACTAGTTTGTCTATTCTCAGCTTCTGTAAATGGAGTCCCAGCTGTAAGTGGACTGTTCTTTGGAAGATGTAAAAGGCTTATTACATCTGAAGAACAATACAAGTTATATGGTTGGATGACTTTACACAAATGTAGATGTTTTTAAGAACTCTGCATTCTGTTTCCCCCAAGTCTGTTCTGCGAAATGCTGCTAAAGATAATGGGCTCTATTTTCGTGTACGCTGGTGAGGCGACAGAGGGTGGCGGACCCCGCGCGGTTGTATTTTCGTCTGGCGGAGCCCGGCGTGAAGCCAGTTTGGTATTTTCGCGGACTGAGGTGCACGGCGGCGAGCCGAGATCCGCCAAGCTGGGCGTGGTGGCGTGGTAGGGGGAGGTGTCGACAGAATCAGTGGGCGCAGTGACATTTTCGTGCTCGCCAGTGGCGTGTAAAGTGCGCTGAAAGCTCGCGGATTCAAACCTGGTCAGCTTTCAGCGCAGGTGGAACGCAGCTGGTCTAGAGGTATTTTGGTAGACCGGCGGTATCGGCAACGGCACCGATGCCTCACCGGCAGGTTTCCACAGTGTCAGGCACATTTCAGTGCAATAAATAATCATCAACAACTAATAATCTGAGTCAGCACATACATTTAGATCTATATAGATATATTCTGATCTATATCTGATCTGATGAGCGCGTTTGGCACGCGTTTGGACACACAACCTGACCGAATCAACACAGCTGAAACCGCATCAAATTAAATTAAATATCTAGTAAATAAACACACATGATGAAGTTATCTAGATATGTAATTCGTCTCCCTCCTTTTCTTTCTTCCTCTTATTTCTCGCACAGCTCGACCTGGACATGTCTCTGTGTCCTCTCTCCGTCCTGCAGCGGCTGAACAGATGATTTGTTTCAGTGATCAGATGAGTTATTTACTTTAAGCCTACATACGGATTTTATAATATTCAGTTTTGTTAGCCAAATTTATTTTATATGCCAACATCTATGGAAGAAAGAGCCAGGCCACGGAGCGCGATGCGTCATTTACGCACAGATGGTTCCGATTTTAATGCCATTTATGGAGTTTATGTTGTGATCTGTGCGCACAACCCACCTTTGTCACGTGAGGTTTGAATATATGCAACTTTATGTGAGTGTCTTTATTTGTGGAAAAGGGTGTTTGTCTTACCAGTGGGTCCAACATTACACACACCAAATCCATCTGTGCTCATATGAGAGAGTGTGGAGGACGCCCAATGCAGCGCTTACAGTGACACTTGTTGAGGAGCTGCCTTCTGTCGCCATCTTGTGGCATAACTGTCTTCAGACATCTCTCGATCTCTTTGACTACTTCACGAAAATAGTAATACGCCTCGCCTGTGGCGGATTTAAAGGCAAGGAGAGGAGCTGATGTGATTGGTGAAAACAGAACTCGACTGTGTTAAACCTACTCCACGCCCTTTCTCCTCCCTCGCTAAGACTTACGCGGCTGGGAGGAGCTAAGTTAGGGAGGGGGGATACTTACGCCGGGCTGCGCCGCTCACCAAAATACCAAATTGTGCTTGGGAACGCCTTGTCGGCGCGGCGGACCTGACTTATGCCGCGCCTGCGGCACGTCTCCAGCGAGGCACGAAAATAGAGCCCAATGTGTTTAATAGTAGATGATCCACAGGCACTACACATGGAAACAAATAATTCTGTCTCTACACTCGAAAGATTTTAATGTGAAACACCAACAGAAACTCTAGAAGTTGAAATCATCAGACTTAACTTAAGAGCCGCTCACAGAGACAGATTTGTTCTCAGGTAGAGCATGTGAGTTACTAACAAGATCAGAGCTTGCACAGTTTTTTTTATTTATTTTTTTGCTCTTGCATATAAACTGTCTTTTTGCTCGGTTTAGCCCTGACATTTAAGCACGCTGATAAAAAGAACACTGCTGCAAGTCAGCAATCTTCATTCAGCCAGCAACTTCTGATCCATGTGATGCAGATGACTGCTTTACAGTGGCCAGAGGTCTTTATCTGCAACAGTAATTACATTTATGGTGTCAATAAATTTACCTTCTCATAATAAAGTGGCTGCTGAGTGTGTATAAACAGTGAATTAGGTTTTGAAGGTCTCCTATTATGGCATTTTTCACCAAGTTTAAATCAATCCCACAGGTCTCACAATAGTAAATTTGAAGTTTGTTTTATAAAACATCAGTTTATTTGTGGATATCAGCCTGCCTGTACCCCCTCTTTTTTAGCTCCACTGAGAACGGGCTGATTCTGCGCCTGTATCTTTAAATGATAATGAGCTGTGTGTAACCACGCTCTTCCTCCCCAAGGCCACTCTGAGCTGCCGGCACTGCCGCGATGGTTCAGGAGCGGTGGTCTGGAGATCTTCTGAGGACCTCTTCAGAGGACTTCCAGACCATCACGGCATGGATCCAGGTTTTATCTTCAGCTTCTTAGCAAATCCTGCTTTGAACTGCCCCTCGTTGGTAAAACAGTCCGTGGTGAAATGGTTAGCACACTCAAACAACATTTTCGGAGTTGTTGTGGGTACATTTCATCAAAAATAAAATTAATTCACTGACTTTGAGGGGATCCATATTATTGGTAGAAAACCACCCAGAAGTGGATTTTTCATAATGGGGGACCTTTAAAATGTGAGGTATTCTGTTGAGATTCATACACAATATTTGTTGCTTTGTTGCACTGTCCTAACATTATTTTTAAAAAAAGGATGTGCTTATCATAGTTACATGTCTATCATATACTATAACAGACCACCTCTCATTGTCCTTGTTATTAACAGGTTTTTGGTCATGGGAAAGCTAATGGTGAGCCAACCTGGGCGCTGTTGCTCACAGTCGGGATCTGTGAGATAGGAATCCTCATCGGTTCTCTGGATGCTGTGGCTCCCATCCTCTCCATGTAGGAAACTGTGAAAACAAACATTTGTGATAAAACTGTAAACCTGTTTTCTGTCTGTTTTACATTGTTTCTCACTGAATGCTCTGCCCTCACACAGGTTTTTCCTCATGTGCTATCTGTTTGTGAACCTGGCCTGTGCTGTTCAGACTTTGCTCCGAACACCCAACTGGAGACCACGCTTTAAGTTTTATCACTGGTAAGAACACTTTAACACTAAACTCCATGTCAAATTATGTCCAGTAGGCTAGCAGTCAACTTTTCAGGGCTTTAAATAACAACAAAAGAGAGTTGTTTTTCTGCTTATGTTGATGTGTTTTCCGTAGGACGCTGTCTTTCTTGGGGATGAGTCTGTGCCTTTCTCTCATGTTCATCTCCTCCTGGTACTACGCACTGGTTGCCATAGTGATAGCTGGTTGTATCTACAAATACATTGAGTACAGAGGGTGAGTCTTTGTGGTCTAGTAATCAAACTGAGAGTTCATCAAATGTTCTGCAAAGGCAAAAACAGCTGTTTTGTTTTGTGGAAATTCATAGTCTTTGCTCAAAGTTTAATAAAATTGTAGCTGTAAATGTGGAGAGGATGAGACTTAGTGCTCCTGGTTGGTTACACACCTCAGATGAGGCTCATATCAGAACATCTGGACTCTGGCCCACATTAACCCCCCTACCTTGAAAAACCAGTCAGATATTATTTCCATCTTGCACCTGTCCTCATCTCCTACTGACATTTTACTGAGATTGTAAATGCAGCTTAGTGTGGCACTGTGGTCCATGATAATTTCCACCCTTATTTTACCACCACAGTTTTTTTTTTTTTTTTTTATTCCTGTTTTTATCCATGTTTTTCCTAAGTACTTTGTACATTTGTGCTGATAAAAATTCATGACAGTTAAATTTCCTATTATCATCACTTTTGTTGTTTTTTTTAGTTGAGTGCCTCACTGTCTTGTGGCTGATTTTGGATGTGGTTATGCTATCTTCATCTCTGGGTGAACCATGTTCACATCTCTTCTCTAGAGCATTAGAGAAAAATGTGTGACACTCTCCTGTCTGTACATTTTGTTTGCAGAGCTGTAAAGGAATGGGGAGATGGGATCAGAGGTTTGTCCTTAAACGCAGCACGCTATGCGCTCATCAGGCTGGAGGAGGCGCCACTGCACACTAAAAACTGGAGGTGAGCACCTTTTGTGCTTCGGTCTGAAAATGAAGCCAAGTAAATTTGTAGCCAAGGACAAGGACAACCCTGCTGAGCATTTCTCTGTATTTATTTGATGGCTTTGATGACCCCTCACCCTTAAGTGCAGTAAACTGCTTATGTCTTCATATAAACATTTCTTCCTCCTCCTCCTCAGACCTCAGCTATTAGTGTTGTGTAAACTGGACTCAGCCCTGGAGGTAAAACACCCTCGACTCCTGTCTTTCACCACGCAGCTGAAAGCAGGCAAAGGACTGACCATTGTCTGTTCAGTGCTGGAGGGAACTTACATGACCCGAGGGAAGGACGTCAAGACTGGAGAGCAGGTTTGATAACACCTCCTGTAGATGCTCTGTGTCTTCAGTCCTCTCTGTTGTCTTCATGGCATTGCAGGACCAGTTAAAAAAAAAAAGAAATTGACATATTCCCTCAGACAGATGCGGAGAGGTAACATGTCTCATGAGTTAGAAATCATGGAGTGTATTTAAGAAAGGGTCTTACACACTGAATCAGCTGTTTTTAGAGAATACTAGAATCCTATTGACATTAGAAAGGGCTGTGAACATATAACAAAGGACATAAAGAGAAGCCTCTATAATGTTAAAGGGAATCATTTATTGTTTCATTGTTTTATTATTTAATTTAATATTTTTTAATGTAATTTCATCTGTTTTGTATCATTTATTTCATTTTATCCAGTTTCATCTAAATATCTTCTATTTTATTTAATGCCTTCTTTCCTGTAATCTTTATACTAGTTTATAATATAAATTATAATTATAAATTATTTACATTTTATTCCTGCTTATTCCATTCTATTTTTGTCCTTTGTTGGCCTTTGTTGACATATAGAGGACAGTGGATAAAGCAGCAAACAAGGGAGGGAGGAGAATGACATGCAGGGAAGGGGCCACAGGGTGGAATTGAACCTTGTATGTTTGCATTTGTGGGGCACACCTAGACAGCAAAGCTATCGGCATCCCAAATATCTTTAATTTGATAACATTTTATTACATTTACTATCCCTTGATAACTGCCTGTTTCTATAACTCTTTATCAGTCTGCTTTGACCCCTTCAATCTGCTATCTAACACCACACCCAGGAGTTTAACTTCCTTCAGCTGTTCAGAGAACACACCTAGTTTAACTGTGGCTTGTCTTTTCTTCTAAATTTTGATGCAAACACCAAACTCTTTGTTTTAAAGGACTGTCAGTTTATTGCTTCATGTCTATTTCACAGCAGCTTGTACGCAGTTCTCTATTAAAAGCTCTTAACAAGTCCCTGACCATTCTGTCTCGGCCCCTCTTGTCTTCCTGCAGAACTTAAAAGCCGCTATGCTTGCAGAGCGGATGAAGGGTTTCTCTCACGTGGTGGTGTCGTCCAACCTGCGAGATGGTTTTTCTCTGCTCATCCAGTCTGCTGGACTCGGAGGAATGAAACACAACGCAGTCCTAATGGCCTGGCCTGCAGGCTGGAAACATGCCAGGGACTCTTTAGCAAGAAGAAACTTTATAGGTAAGGGACACAGGTGTGTGTGTTTGTGTGTGTGTGTGTGTGTGTGTAACAAAATAGTAATATATTATTTCCTAATACCATCCATCCATCCTTCTTCTACCGCTTATCCGGAGTCGGGTCATGGGGGCAAGAAAGCCTAGACTTCCATCTCCCAGGCTATTCTGACCGGCAGCCTCCCCTACCATCAGAGCCAACTCACCACCAGGTGGTGATCAGTCGACAGCCACGACCCTCTTGTCACCCGAGTGTCAAAGACGTGTGTTGGCAAGTCCGACTACACAACCACAAAGTCAACAAGTCTGAGAGTTGATCATCGAACTGTGACCTTGGGTGTCCTGGTGCCAAGAGCACATGTGGACACCCTTACGTCTGAACATGGTGTTCATTATGGACAATCTGTGACGAGCACAAAAATCCAATAACAAAGCACTGCTCAGATTCAGATCAGGGGGCCCGTTCTCTCAGTCACACCCTTCTAGGTCTCACTGTCATTGCCAACATAGGCACTGAATTCCCCCAGCAGGGAAACCCCCGAGGGAGCACTATCCAGCTTCTAAGGACTCCAAAAAAGTTGGATACTCTGAGCTGCTGTTTGGAGCATAGGCACAAACAGCAGTCAGGATCCGTCCCCCTACCCAACCCTTTTGTCTACTGGGGTAAACCCAAAATACAGGCACCGAGTTGGGGAGCAATAAGTATTGCTATCCTTGCCTGGTGGCTCTCACCAGTGGCAAGTCCATTGTGGAAAAAAGTCTCTTGAGAGGACTGGTTCCGGAGCTGAATTAATCTGAGTCCAACCTTCTAGAACCTCTCCGCCTCGTGCACCAGCTCAGGATCCTTCCCAGCCAGAGAGATGACATTCCACATCCCTAGATCTAGCTTCTGCAGCCGAGGATCGACTGCTAAGACCCCTGCCTTTCATTATTGACCAACTCCCACTGCACCCCACCCCTCTGGTCCCTTTCACAGGTGAGCCCATGGGAAGGGGGTCCCACATTGCCTCTTTGAGCTATGCACAGCCAGGCCCCAGGGGTGCAGGCCTGACCACCAGGTGTTTGCCAACAAGCCCAACCCCAGTAGAGTGTGACCTGGGTCTGAGGGAAACTTGGTGCCAATTATTTTATTCACCATAAAGTATTTTTTTAGATTTATGCTTTGTCTGGCTCCTCCCCCATGACCTGCTTGCCTTAGGTGACCCTACCAGGGGCATAACCCCCTGGCAAATGAGGTTATGGATCATTAGGACACACAAACCTCTCCACCATGACAAGGTGGTGGCTCAAGGAAGGCTAATTACCTCATACAGTTTATGTAAAAATGTGATACTTCTATAAAAACTTTTTCTCAAATTCTGTCCCTTCATTTTTGAAAATGAGTCACATTTTCTAGTTGTCTTTTTTGTCTTATCCCAGTGAAAAATTCATAGATTGTTTTTTTTTCTTTTCTCAGACTTAGACAAGCTCATATGAGGAAGTTTTTCATTTGTTTTAAATTTAGTGTTCCCTGTGGACCTCTTATCTCTTTACTGATTTTGTCTACTCAAAAAAGTCAAATGAAAATTTTGTCTTCTCCTATCACTTTGGCAGAGACAGTGAGAGAGACCACAGCAGCTCATCAGGCTTTATTGGTTGCTAAAAACATTGACAGTTTTCCCAGTAACCTGGAGCGTCTGGAGGAGGGAAATATTGATGTTTGGTGGATTGTTCATGACGGGGGACTGCTCATGCTGCTCCCCTTTCTGCTCAGTCAGCACAAGGTTTGTATGCTGCCCTTCAAAAAAAAAAAACAAGAAGTACAAAATGCACAGAATAATTTGGATATAAACAGTATCATTCTTTACTGAAAAACTTTACCTTATAATCTTATTTTATATGATATATAGTTAAATATTTTCTTGCTGCTTATTAAGATCAACATTTTGGCCACACTTTACTTGACGCCTTTCTCAATAACGCATTATAAATATATATCATGCATTATAATCACGTTATAGCACTGTATAAGTATTTGTATAAACACTCATAAATGATCAAAATGCTTCTTATAACTGTTAACAACTCACTGACAATGCCCACATAGATAATGCATTATACATATATCTATGATGTGTTATAATTTGGTAATAAACTTGTATAACTATCATTATAAACACTCATAAATGATCATAATGCTTTAAAGCCATAATCATAACATGTTATAAAGCATTTTAACACGACTTTAAAGGTCAGGTATTATAATGTGTTATGCTTATTGTTATAAATGGATGGAGCTGTGAACAAACTTTAAAATTAAATGCATGTCATATATTTTTCTCAGCCCTGGTTGTGATGTTGAAATGTAGTTATTAGACTGATTTGTGCTCAAGTCCTCTTTTTTCTGAGCAAATGCAGATTTCAGGCAATGGAGACAATTCCTTGAAATACCAGAAGCTTTTTGGCTTTAAATTCATACACTGATGGGAGGCAACGTCATGTTGTCCAATCCACAAACAGTCTGTAGTTTTAATTTATATATATATTTTTTTGTCCATTTTTTTTTTTTTTTTAGCATTACAGCAGTACTGGTATTTTGAGCACTACACAAACGCCCTCTGCTGGGCAGAGTTGAGGGACGTGCCACATATTGTGCTGAATTGTAATCAACCAGCCAAACAACATCAGACTTTTCTAGTCCTCTTGACAAAAGAGAACCTGAAATATAAATGTCCAACCCTATTGTGATGATATGGATCAGCACTGGAGTAATTATAGCTCACAGTAATTGGCTTAGCTAGTTAGAAGGGTGGTACAGCATTAATCCTTATGGTTTGATAAAAGTATTCCACATTCATCTAAAACTATTGCTTTCTGTGTTCATATATTTGTTTTTTCCTAATATTTAAGGTGGCTGTAAGAGAACTTAGAGAGACACCAAGTTTATAACTTGCGCACACTGGATTAGTACGATTGTCAGAATTTCCATGCAGAGAAATAGATTAATTTCTGAGTACCTCTCTTTTTGCTCACAGCTGATACTGACACATCTATGTCCCTCTGCAGGTGTGGAGGAAGTGTAAGATGAGAATCTTCACCGTGGCCCAAATGGATGACAACTCCATCCAGATGAAGAAGGACCTCCAGAGGTTCCTCTACCATCTGCGTCTGGATGCACAGGTTGAGGTGGTGGAGATGGTGAGGATTACTCCAACTCAGTCAGTCATTTTTGAGTTTCAATGATTGTTTTTCTTTATCATGAGGGTGATCCAGGTGGTAGTACAGATAATACAACCCTAAAGCTTCTCTTTAAATTTTAAACTGCCATCATTAGCCTGCTTTTCTTTGTAGCAGCATTTAAAAATGTTTGTCTGTCCCGCAGCATGACAGCGACATCTCAGCCTTCACGTACGAGAGGACACTAAGAATGGAGCAAAGGACCAAGATGTTAAAACAGATGCAGCTGTCCCGCACTGAGAGAGAAAGAGAGGTACTGTCACACCTAGACCAATAGACTAACAAAATCATGCACACTGAATCAAACAGGTAAGCTTCAAGTACATTACAGAATACATGACAGAAACAACGCACAGTACAATGTCATAATATGTTAGGTTCACTCAAAATAAAGTGGTGCATATTAATATCAACATTTTTAAAAAACTAAATATTTTCCCTGTAATGTGATTCAAAAGAATAAAACACAAAACAAATTCCGTATTCTTCACTGACAAAGTGAAATATTTCAATTTTTTTTTCTTTGGTTGAATCTTGATGATTACAGCTCATAAAAATCCACTTAACACATTAGAATAATGAGGAAAAGTCCAGTTATTGTCGGGTATTTCAGTCCTGAATAGAGCTCTAATCAGCTAATAAACTCTGAACACCTGCAAAGGTTTACTGAGCCTTTTTCTCTCACTCTGGTTCAGTACACACAGCTATAATCATTGAGAAGACTGCATCATTTTCCAGACATTCAACATTTCTGCATTATAAATCTTTTGTGGTATTTTATGTTAGTGAATTTTTGTGGGTTTGACGTTATAATCATCAAGACTTAAATAAACTATTCTTGCTATATTTCATGCTGTCTGTGATGAATTATTAAGAAAGTTTCACTTTGTGAGTTAAATTGTGGGAAAATATGTGCTTTTCATGATATCCTAATTTTTTCGAGCTGAATCTGTAAATGGAGCACATGTACAGGTACATTTTGTCATTCTGCCTTAAATTACAAAAGTCAGCATGTAGGAGTAGATTTTCTTTTAAACTACAGTGACTATTAGACTTGTGAATTATATTTGCATGTGCTGTCAACAACACTGCAAAACACAACAGCATTGCAATCTTTGTAAACTTTTTAAAACATCTAAACTTGAATAAAGCTCTGTGAAAACCTTCAGAGCTCTGACACATTTATAAAAGACAAAAATGTAGTTCCCTTACTATAACAAATACTAAGCCAAATATGGCACAGAAAATATCCCGGCTGCTTTCCTCAATCCAGAGAAAAAGGTGGAGCTTAGCCCCCTTTTCAACCTCTCTTGACCTTTAAACTCTTCTTCTTCCAATCTTGCTTTGTGACTGGACAATGGGTCCAGATTCAGAGCATCACAGATGTGTCACGTGGTTCCATAAAGAGGAAGAAGTCATCTGCCCCTTCCCTTGACACCCCAAGCATACCAGAGGAAGAGGTAGCCACGGCAACCAAACAGCCTGTAGTCACCAACTATGATGTCATTCGGTCTCTCTGTATTTCTCATGCAACCATTCATGCATCTTCATTCATTCATAACTTCAGCATGGCCTCAGACTCAGCTGTAAACAAGATGCTTCATTCACTGCAGAGGGACCAGAAGCTGCCACTAGAGGGAGACAAATTCTTCCCTGATCTTAAAAGAGAAGCTGCTAACGGATTACTAACAATAACCTCAACCCAAAATTTACCCTCCTGCGTGAAACGGTACTGATTAGTATTGGAAAGTCTGTCATCTCCATGAGGCCGGAGCCTACTTTCATCAAATGTCCTGAAACAGAGTGGAAACCACGAAGGGAAGAAACTGTTTTAAACCCTGATTCAAAGAATGTTAAAGGGCTTTTGCTGGCAGGGGTGTTTCCAACAGGACAGCTTAGGGTGGCATGGGCCCCACATTTGGTTGGCCACCACAAGTGCCATACCTTAATCCTAGTTTGTGATAAGATATTTGATGGTTACAAAAAGTGTTTATGGTTAACCAACTTTTAGGGAGACCTGACATACTAGAGCTCAGAGGTGGATAATGGTTACAAATAACTTGATGATTTGATGCTCATGCTGTGTTTAATCCAACAACATTCAATAAGACATCTTAAGTTAAAATCTAATGATTTATGTTTTTGAGGCCCTATAATTAGCTTACAACCAGAAGTCAAAAAAAAAAAAAAATTAAGATGACATGGCCAGAGCTTACACTTCTCTGTGTCTTTTAATAAGATCATATAAACAACACTGATTGTTTACTGTCCAGTGTTAGAGATGTCGTGTGTTTGTATTTTCTTCTTCTGCATAGTTCATCATCATAATCACCTGACCTCCCTAAAACACGCCCACTACATCTTAGGCTTTCCTCTTTTTTTATATCATCTTCTCATAACAGCACATCCATCATGAATAATACATTTTCAACATTGCTGGTGTCTGTGATTTTTCCCTGTGATCAATATTTTTTGTTAAATTAAATTTAAATCCAGAAAATCAAGATACAAATGTTCTTGCTTTGTCACTTTATGATCTGTCCCTGTTCAGGCCCAGCTGATCCACGACAGAAACACAGCGTCTCACTCAGCAAATGAAAAAGCTGCCGGGGCCCCACCTGAACGAGTCCAAATGACCTGGACAAAAACCAAACTCAACAATGAGAAGAACAGACAGAGAGAGAGCATGGGTGTAAAAGACATCTTCAATATGAAACCGTAAGTAGATCTTCATTTACAGATTCATATCTCATTCATTCATATTCTTATTGTGAACACTGAGGAAAATAGTATGCTGTCACTTCAAGTTGTATTGGTGTTTTATTACTAGCAGTTTTTTTATTTCATATTTTTAGGTATTTTTTGTAATTATCATCACAGAAAACTTAATCTGAAAGTGGTACGAATAAAAAAAGGCTTTTGGTTACCAATGGGCTGTGATCAGCTACAGAAAAACTTACTGTTAGAGAATTTGGTGTCTTAAAGGCCATATCCCAAAGTGACTTGTTTTAAGAGCTGTCATTAAGGGTGTGTATCAGATACCAACTACAACACTGTAATATCTAAATTGTTGTTTTAGGGAAAAGTAACAAAGGCTAATTCCTCAGCATACCCTCTCGCTTACAGCTGTCACATATATTAAAAAATTACAGAACAGAATGTGTCCATCCTGTTGTCCATGTTCTCATGTGCTTTGTAGATCTTAGAATAACATTCCTGGTCATTTCAGTCCGTTTCATAAGCAATCAAAAACTCCTTATAGGAGCTTTAACTAGTGGTCAACTGGCATCTAATTTTTAAAGGTCATTACCAGTAATGACATTAAGAGAGCAGGTCACTCTGATTTTACATTAGCTTAGTTGTATTGTATTTTTTTTTTGTATTGAGAAAAGTACACCAATTTAGTATTACCAACAAATTGAAAAAAAAAAAAATTCTGAATGACATTTTATTAGATAAATGTAGACAGAAAATAATTGTACATTAATAAAATAGATTATTGCCAAAAGGGACTTTGGATTGTTTTCCAGTCACCTGAAATTCCCCCCAGAGACAAAAAAATCAAGGTAAAAATTGGAGGATTATACAAAAAATGATATAAAGTTCTTTGTAAATCTGCTCATCCAGTAACATTACCAACAAATATCCATGGTAATCTAGGTGATTGACCTTCTTCAAATGGTTTTTTTGTTGATTGGTGAAAAACAATTATATTGGGTTAGGCTACAGATTTCAGATCTTATCTATTTCAGAAGCAACACAAAACTGCTTTTTTTCTGTATCTCATACTAGAAGGAAATTTTATATGCAGTCATTCATTATAAGAAAAAAATGTGTTTTTATTTAGAGGCGGTGATGGAAATGTTATCTACTCATTCTATCTCTACTATTACCAAATCAAGATAGTTTAATACATTTATTTTTCTGTTTGTGTTTTATGTTTTTTTTTTTTTTCAAGGGTACAAAATTTGATTATTTTAACCAGCAAATTTCGTAAAAATCAAGATATTATTGTCAGTGTTGCACACCTGCAGCTTAACCATAAACAGGAATTAAACTTGGATATTTGCACATGTTAGTATTGTTTGTTGGTATTGGAGAGCTCATTTTCCAGGATCCTAACTCCTTTTGTATACAGTGAAGAAGAAGATGAGACAGAACTGCCTGAATATTTCTTGACTGTTTCAATAATGAGCAGATAAACTCAGAGAAGGGAGACTTTCTTTGACATTGCTTTAACGTTGGATACATTTTTTTCTCCATTCCTCTAGTGAGTGGGAGAGTCTGTAAGTTGCTTTTATTTATTGTTTGCATTTGCATGAACGCCCGCTCCAGCATCTCTCTGTTGCATGCTTCTGTGGATCACATGGTCAGTTTGCATGAGTGCATGATCACAACTATTGGAGCTGTATGTGCATTTGAGCTGCATTCGCCGCTAAGATCATCAGATTCCCTGATCATGCTGCCTGTGCTTCCTGTAGATCGATGACTTTGGAAAACATCTGTGTCTGATAAATGTCAACTGATTATAACCAATGTTCTGTGGCTTAATATAGTAGCCAGTCCAATGTGCGGAGGATGCACACAGCTGTGAAGCTGAATGAAGTGGTGGTCAAGAATTCCCATGATTCACAGCTAGTCCTGCTCAACATGCCAGGTCCACCCAGGAACAAGAAAGGACATGAGAACTGTATCCTTTTTCAGCTAATAAATCATTGTTTCAATGAGTAAGATTTACAGTTAGTGAGTCAGTCATTAGAGTCCATCATTTAAGGAAACAGCCTCAATCACTTTCTGACTAAGAGAGAGGGGAGAAAATCAGCTGTACTCTATTGTCTTGATACAAAACATCAACCAGCTGACCTCAGTCAGTGAGCTGAACCTGATACAAAAACTCAAGATGTGTCAGAATTGACTGTCAGTGTCCTTCAATGCTCAAAGTAGACTGAGACCGTGTACACACGTAGCTGGGTATTTGCTAAAACATATATTTTTGTAAGCCATCCATACGAAACCACAGGATTACATCATTAAAAACGATGCTTTTCTAATAAGAATCTTTTCTTATATAATAAAACTTTTCTAAAAACATTTTATTTTTAAATTCCCAAACGCCATTGCCCCGCGACAACTAATAGATAAATTTCATATACTATGCGCCCTTGTTTATGTCAGGCAGTGGACAGCACAGATACATACAGAATATATATTTTTGTGAGGAGCAAAGGAGAAGGAGTGCTTTGCAGTCAGTTAGACATCAAATAACCCTTCCTCCATCTTTCTTGTGTTTTGTTGACTTCATACTCCAAAACGATGCTTACAAGCCATTCCACTTCTTTGTCGGTCCGCACAAACAAACTACACGGCGCTATGTTTCATGTTTGGAGAAGTGTCAACGAGAAAGGGAAGCTTGCTCTAATTGCATAGAATGGATCTAACTTTTTGGCAAATACTACCAACTCCAAGTCTGACATGCTTATAACCGCAGTCAAAAGCACATTCACGGGGTTTTGTGTGGATGGGGTTTTATTTGAAAACGATAATGTGTGTACATGACTTTTTTTTTAAACAGAGGGGGTTGGATATTCGTTTATAAATATACATGGCTACATGTGTACAAGGCCTGAGACTTTTCTGGAGGGTTTATACATTCCACCTGGCCAAAGAACATTGCAGGGGAAGAGTAGTGATGGGAAGATGGGAAGATCAGTCAGTGCTTCGGAGCCCCATCCTGCCGGTGCAGTACACAAGTGAGTGACACAGCCACAAGCTCATTCATTGAACAAGCCCCTCCCCTCCCCTGCTGCTGAAGTCACAGCATCGTTCACTGGGTGACACGTCATTTTTTGCCAAGTCCTGAAGGAAGAATCACTCCTCTGCCCTGAAAAACTCAGCTCTCTGTATGTTGCCTTCTGCGAAAATAACACAGCAGCAAGCAGCACACCCGCAAAACATCGCTGTTGTAGTGGGATTCTACTACTTTTAAATATATCAAATCGCGTATTGCTTTAAATCGGCTAAAATTAAATCCTTCTTGCAGGAAAGTTTATACACGTGTATTAATGTAAAGGCACTAAAATGCACTGTTTTATCTTAGCCTCAGTGAATAAACCGGTGTTCAGCAGTAAGTGAACGACACAACACCCCCCTCCCTCCTCTGCCTGTACCAAGTAATTCGGAAGTAGTCTGTTTCATTCAGCATGCCGTTCACTGACTGACTGAATCATTCCGTTCACTTACTGATACATGTCATTGACAGACTGACGTTTCGTTCACTGATGATACATATCATTCATTCGCTGTGAGTGAATCGTAAGAATCCGCCTGCCCGCCAGCTGGCTGGCTGGCTGTGTGTCGTTCACCAAAGAGTCAAAGGCGGCAGTTTCACTCCCAACCAGCATGCCAGGCTCGCGGCTGAGCTCAACTGAACTGAAAAAGGAATGAATCAGGTCTCGGAGTGATTCAGTTCACGTTGTTCACTCAGCAGTTCCCTACTTTTGAACAAAACGTTTATGAACAACACAGCACTAGGGAAGAGGGATGCCTGGGTGGAAGGTGGACTTCTTGGACCGCCACCCTTGTTACCCTGATGGATTGATTGTCAGGGATACTGGGAGGTATTCAATACTTACTCAAATAGTAACCCCTTCTGCTCACACAGACACAAGGACAGAGATAGCCATGGTTGTGCTGAGTCATTGTTGATATGCTAGTTAGCATTAATGTTGCCAAATAAGCCTCTGTATACGAGTTATCAAAGGGATGTGAACACTTAATATAAACAATAAACTTTGTGACCTTAACCGGGGTGTTTCTGTCAGACATGGAATTCCTTGAAGTCCTAATGGATGGTCTAAACCGTGTCCTCTTGGTTCGTGGAGGTGGTCGGGAGGTCATTACCATCTACTCCTAGCACCAGAGGGTTCTACGTTATTTACAAGTGGACAGGAGGGGAATATTTTATGACTGCAGGACCTGAACAGAAGGGGAGGACATGGCTTTTTAAAGGACTCTGATAAGGCTGTGGAAAAGAGCAAGTGATGTAAACTCGTCTTTCACTCCCAAGAGAAGAATATTAACAGGGTATTAGGAGGATCATGTTGGACTGGAGGGACAGCAGGGTTCACCCACAGCCTGGCCTAAGTCTGGTGCACCTTGTCTGAGGCCAGAGGATCCTTAGCCACAGCACCTGACCTTGGCCACATCTTAACACTGCAGCACCACAGCAGAGATGCTTTTTCCTCACATACACTAAAAGAGTTGTCACTTCTTTTCTGCGCACTGTAGTTTTATATATGTAAACAGTGAATGGCCCTAATTCTTCTGTTTATTTATCAGGACATGTGGGCCATTATTGGAAAATGTAGATGTATTTTATCCTATTTTATGAGTATGAGTGTGTCATAGTTTAGGACATGTGTGCTCTTAGTTCTTTATCTGCTGATGTGTATGACTGAGGGAAGCTGTTAAGTATGATTTTATCTTAATCTTTTTAGGTCTAGCATAAAAGGTTTTAGATTCAGAGTGTGTCGTGTTAAATTTTACAAAGATGACATTAAAAAAAACTTCAAAGAAAAGTCTGGATCTTTAAGATTTTTAAAACATTTTTGTTGAAGCAATGAACACACAAAATCTGTCCAGAAAATTGTCAAAATTGTTTGACTACACATCTGTGTCAGTTGGACCGACATTTAGAGATTTATTATGTAAGGGACAGTGTGATTGAGTTGTCATGACAAATATAATTCCTGAAAGGTTGCCTGGATTGCTGCTCTACTCTAACATCTTCTTCAGGTAACTGTCATTATTTCCCGGCTATCAGGATCAGTCTGAAATCAGACGGCATTTCTATGAGTGGTAAAATCAGAAAGAGGAAAACAAACTTTCTACTTCATAACAAACTTTTTTAATCATTCTACTCTCAAATACCTGTCACTCTTTGACACTCTCCAGCCAAGTCCACCATCGTCACATGAACTGGATAAACTTGAAGACTACATTAACAAACATTTTTGCAGACTCTACAGCACGAAGAACAAGAGCCACACTGGTTAAACCAACTCAACACCGCCACTTATTAAAACAAAGAACAACAGAGTCATCATCCTTTGACACAGGTACACCACCAAAATCCCCTTGCTGCACTGAGGTAAGCAACATCATTATACTTATTGAACACAAACTCTCAGGACTTGATGCAAGAATCACACTTATTGAAGATTAGCACCACAAATTTTAGACTCTACACCAGAGCCTGGAATTCAGCTAGGACCAGATAAACACACAAATCACCCCAGTAGTCTGTAAAACACACTACCAAACGACCTGCAAAAAACTGCCGAGGATTTATGATTCATCAACGTAAACACTATCACATCCCCCTAGTGTTCATCACATAGAACAGAAGATAACCCCCAAAAACTGTGTTGTATTTAAATACTCATACATGCAAACAATCAAAAGAAAAAAAATCCCCAACTACTCCTTATAAAAGGCTGACAAAAAGCTCTGTACTTAACCTACTTCCAGCTTGGTGCCTGAAAACATTGTTTTTCCTGCTGCTAAAATCAGAGGAATTTGCACACCCCTGCTGCAGCAAAACAGACCAGTTTTGACATAAAATTACACCCTGCACGATGAGCTTGCTAACAACATGAAATGTTTGGTTGGGCGAAAATGGAAACTATAACATAATATGCAACAAGCAGCTTTTTGTTGCCAACAAAGCAGGAAGTGACTCCAGAGAGGAAATGAGGCTGAGAGACTGCTGTGATTTCTCTGATCGCCCTCTTTTCATCCCAACACTTTTTGTGTGATACTTTATCGTTATTTTGATCTGCCTTAATACATGAAAATCCTCCTTTTATTTCATTGTGACGTGTATAATAACACTTCCTAATGAAACTCTGGTTTCTGATGCTCCATACTCACAGGGGGTGATACATTTGTGTTCATTGGATTTGTTTTCTGTGTCTGACCCACATGAGAGCTGATCTGGCATCACCTCTTACATAACTGGCCCACGTTCTGTCTCCAAAAATCAAATTAATCCTTAAATCATCATTGTCCCTCTCTTTGCAGCAGAACAAAGGCAATTTTGGAGCTACAGCAGGAAGCTTTTTGGAGAACTTGGCCTTGGATAAATGGCTTCCTGTTTGTCCCCCCTCCCCAGTTGTTAGCTGGGTCAGCACGCACAGAACAACAACAACCATCCCAGTCTGCTGCTCTGATCACCGCCTGAACTACAACTCTGCTACACTGTGTACTGTCTGTGATCCTTTTTTGAAAGTACAGCCTGTTTTATGTGTCTGAATCCAGTTTTATTGTTCCCCAAGTGGGAGAGTTGTCCTGTGCATGGATGCACACAAATAAAAGCAACCACAGCTCTTACCATGTTTGAAAAAAAATACACAGCTGGTAAAAACAAGATGTGGAATTAAAAGTTCACTGTCTGCAAATGTGAGAGGTAGAACCATCCGAAGATTTGACTGTCTAACCTCTGTAAGTCAAAAAGAGCTGCAGCCTCCAGAAAAGCTCCTGAATGAGTTGTAAATAGGTCACATTGAAGAGCAATGAAAGAAAACAATCAGATTAAAACTGTACCAGTGATTCAAAAGGACATTAGGAGGGGCCTCAAGTAATTACCAGGTTCCTGCAGATTTTTAAAAATCAGGTGGAAGATCTTTGTAGACCTGTTTTACCCGTAGATTCATAACTGGATCAAAAATGACCCAGTGAAGGTTGATTTCTGGCAATATACTTCAGCCATTCAATGACACATAACTGTAAGTTTTAAACTGTGTTTTTTAACACATTGCAGTTTCGAGATCTGATGTATGTAAGTATAGTCATAATCTTGTCGATTCGGACTGGATTAAATGATCAGAGGATCTGTGTGTGCCCTGTAATATGGAGGATGATTTGCCATGTAATTTTTACTGAAGAAGCATCTAAAGTTGAAGACCTTTCTCTCATAAATTCAAGACTTTTTAAGACATTTGGAGGATCCACTGAAACCCTGTATGATAACATCTTATCATACAGGGCATCTTTCTTCTTCACTGTATTTTGTGTATTATTCCTCCAACTTTTAAGCATGCAGTGTTCAACATTACTGATATGACTGAACAAATTATACGAAGGCAGAAAGTGAAATTAAAGTTGGACTTTCTGTTAGAGGATCTTGAGGTCAAACGGTCCTGACTGTTGTTCAATTTAACACATGACATGGGATAACACAACAGCCAACAACCTACATCTGCTGGATCAGACTACTAACTTCTTCTGAGTTCAGCATCAAGCTCAGAACTGTACAGTGCAGCCCAACACTGCTGCCAAATTGCTGTAGACTCTGATTTCCACATGTACTTAAAATCCCTGAACTTATGCAGTTTTATTCTGTCTATTTTACATCAGCTGACTGATCTTTTCTCTAGAGTCTTCTCCCAACAAACAGCCCGTTATCAGTGGGGCTGATCTCAGCCACCGTCTTCCCACAGCTCTCTCTGACCTTTCCAAAACTTCTGAAGCTGTGGTCAGACAGCATCTTCTTCTTTTTTGGGGAGAAACCGTCTATCTGAGAGTGAGATCTGTGGGAAGAGCTGAAGAGGGAAAACATGGGTGGCTTAGGAGGGGAATGTGGTCTGAGAAGACAAAGAGAGACAGATGATGAGGGGGAAGATGAGGAAAGGGAGGGCCATTATCATTCTAGCATCTAATAATAGTGGGGTGTTACCATCACAGCATGGATGATTTTACTGAGATTCCTCCACATATGGCCAACCCCTGTGGCTCCAACTTCGACAGCTCTGTGACTATTTAACATTTTTGCATCGAATTTGCTCAAGCCTTGGGGTGTTGTGGGCTTGATCATGACAGGACCACAAACCTTGATGCTCCACCTTGAAAAGTTACACCTTTTTAACCCTGCTGCTTCTTCACATGCATTAACTTAATTTCATGTGCTAATTTAGAGTTGGGGTCTGAACTTATCCATACTTGAAGTTCTCAAACAACCCAACAATATTAAGTCACAGATTTTCATGTACATAAACCCAAAGGTTGAATGAACCAATTGAAAGAGGTTATGTTGGTGGCCATGGCTTATGGATTCGGTGGTAGCCCCTCAAAATTTCTGAAAATTCCCCTTCCAAAGCCTGTTCACTGAAGAACTATAAGAAGACTACAAAGAAGTATTTTGGACACATATTGCAAATCCTTTCCTGGAAACTTTTGTGTTATTGCTCTATATATTCTTCATAGCACCACCTACCAGTGGGGCACATAGACTGTACAGTATATACTATGGACAACTTGGCTCCGCATTCCGTACAAATTTATACAAATTTGAAGTCGAATTGCTCTTGATATTTCTGGGATTGTCTCATTTACTTTTGTCTCATTTACTGTTTGAATGTGACCATGATGAAGCTGGGCCGATTTACAAAGCAAGACACTTATTAAGAGAGACGAGGCTTACTTCTCAGATGTGTTTAAATAAATGTCAGCAAAAATAGAGCATGTCAGGACATGTTTTTAACTACAGATAAAATCGATTGTTTCAGTTCTATTTATTCTTGTGTTTTTATTCCTTGTTTTACATCTTAAGGGCAGCTTTAGCTTGTTTGAGACATTTAGACGACAGGCATGGCTAAACACTTCTTCTGTGTCTGTCCAGAATAAGTGAACTATTCCTTATACAATATTATTTATGATTAGCTGGGTTTACACGACTACTTATGTTTTATTTTGGTTATATTTTTTTTATTTATCCGCAGGGAAGAAATAAAGTTCTACTTATCTTATTTTATCTTATCTAAAAATACTGTGTAATTCCTCAATAAAAAGCTTAAGAGGTTTTAGGGTTATGATCGGCCATGATTGTAATGGTTGCATGTTAGAAACTGATGTAAAACAGAGCTGAGCAGTTTGGTTGTTGCCAGCACCTCTGGCTACAACCCAACATCAGCCCTGCATTAAACACAGGGACTCCTTCCTTAAACATTTTGTCATAAAAAGTGTCAGGGCTTTACCTTTGTTGCTTTTCTTCTTGATTTGTTGAATGAATATTTGAGTGGTTTCCACCTGTTTTTTCTTTAACCCCAGACTTTTTCAGTTTCGGTTTTCAGTTCTTTGAAATGTAGTGGTTTGCAAACTAGTTTTGCATCGTCATGTTGCTCCATAGTGTTCTTGCACTATCACAAGAGAGACTCAAGTCAACAGAATTCAACGGGAACAGATAAGGTGTTGATTACCCCCTGCTTTTGATAACCAATACATTAAAAGGGTGTGTTAGCATGGTCTTTAGTATCCCTGTTATGACAATGTGTCCTGTGTTTGTTCCATAGACTGTATAAGAAATGGACTAGGCTTCAGTAATGTCACACATTTGTTTCTGAAAAAAAGGTTTGAAGCCTATCAACTGGTCACCATGTTGGTAGGACTGACTCAACCTCGCTTTTAGTCAACGTACCAGAGGCCGGCCTTCAGCCTCCTCACAAATGGCTACAGTGTGTCTGCCTGTCAGTCAAGTCAGCTGTGCCTCTGACTCCCCAGTCTTATGACCTTAATATAGTTGACACAAGTGCGTTACAAAAAAAGTCAGTCCCCATGAAGTGGGTGCCATGGGAACCCTGCTCAGGCCAAAACCATTTTCTGAACTGGCCTATATATATGTAGTTCTTCTGCTGCCTGGAATGTGCTCTCAATTTTTAGCACATTAACATCAGCTTAATGTCTCATCATGGGGTTGTTAGCATTTGTTGCACATACACAGATTAGAGCACATTTTAAAGCCCCTGTGAATATTTGTTGATGTTTATGAAATAATAATAATAATAATAATAATAATAATAATAATAATAATAATAATAATAATAATAATAATAATAATAATATCTTGCATTTGTATAGCACCTTTCAAGATATCCAAAGCACTTTACACTACATGACAATAAACATAACTAGATACCAAAAGCCTGGATAAACAAGTGTCGCTTCAGAGCAGACTTGAAAGAGTCAAGAGTCTGTGCTTGGCGGATCTCAGAGGGGAGAGAGTTCCAGAGAGGAGGGGCGGCCACACTGAAGGCTCTGTCACCGAGGGATCGCCTTTTCCCATGACGGACAGTGAGGAGCCCAAGGTCCGCAGACCGCAGAGTACGCGCCGGGATGTAGTCCTTGAGGAGGTCAGACAGATAGTGTGGGGCTAGGGCATGGAGAGCTTTGTAGGTGAGCAGGAGGAGTTTGTAGATGATATGGTATTTGACAGGAAGCCAGTGAAGGCGTTTGAGGGTAGTGACAGTGTGACATTCATATTAAGGAATTTTTGTGATTTATGTAAGCAAACAAGACTGTTAGCATCTAGACAAACAATTTTTGTACTGTAACTTTTCATGCCTTAAATCAGTGCAAAGGGGTAGGTGTCAGCCAGACAGCTAAATAAACAGCCCTGTTTTTTGCAATTTCCACTTAAAATTTTCACAATAAATGGTAAGTTTGACCGTTAAAAGTCAACCAGTTTTTATGTTTTTTTTTTTTGGCAAAAGACACAACCCAAGCATGTAAGATAAAAGACTGCTTTGTCCGTAGGGCTGCAAAATGTGACAGATCCAAAAGTTCCTTACAGTAGAACAGGATTCAAATCATTAAAATCTGGCCAACCATGTGACAAATACTGTTTAAAGCTCATTGTGTTCCGACAAACATTTGTGGAAATTCATTTTTTTCTTTATTATTTACTGACTTCACCATAAGTAGACCAGACTAACACCTCCAATACTCAGAAAATTATACTTTTATTCCAGTATGTGTGTTTGTTTTGGCCATCCTGATGTCTCCTATGATAATGTGGGTCATGTAATTGGCTAGTTTGACATTAGACTGAACAAGGAGAGGGATGGGGGGCTGTCCAAAGGTAAAATCAGTCTGAATTCATTGGTCATATGGTGAGTCTGTCTACAAATAGTGGTATGGTAAAACCCACAAAGCTTATTTTTCTTTTTTTTGTTTTTTGTTTTTGAAAGGTAACTTCCATCCAGGCTTTTGAAAAACAGAGAAGATATGTTCACATGCTGATAAGATTGACCTGGGATGAAGCCCTGAAATACTGCAGGGAGCATGAATCCAATCTGGCCATTTTTACAAATGAGACCAAATTTCAAGCACTGCAGAATAAAAGAAGTCACCATACAATCTGCTGGATTGGTCTCCACAGACAGAGTGAAGATCCCAGTGCCTGAATCTGAGCTAACGGTGAAGAATTCATTTTCACATCTTGGTACCATTCACAAACCAGTCACACTGATGGAGAGTGTGCCTTAATGTTTGGGAAAGATTAGTTTGATCACTTTTGTTATTGGTAATTTGAAATTTTGTGCCATTCCTACGACCTTGAACATGTTCAGGTTCAAACAAAGAACTCTTATGCTGAAACCACCCAAAGCACCTAGACTCAAGAGGTGTGGATAGGCCTTCGTTTCCTGGCGGGAACTGGATGTAGATGGATGGCTTCCCCATGGTGGAACAACTGCCTGTCTGCCCTGCATCCAGAGGCATTGTGGGACAGTTTCAAAGAAAGGTTAGTTGACTACCAAGGACAGTTCAAAGAGGAGGAATTTTTTTGGGTGTGTTTCAGAACAAGTGTTAGCCAATATATACTCAGTTTGGGTGTATCTGTAAATTTGCTTTTATAAAAGATGAGTAATGGGTGTGTCTGAATTTACAACTTTGAGATTTAGATTTAAATTAACCATCAATTAACATGCAAAATTACATATATTTTATTTATGTAGTTTGTTAAAATTTGTATTTTATTATATTTTGATAAAAGTATTCAATTTAGCTATTGAAGAGTGTGAAGATTACAAGTTAAATTTCTGTCTCTGTGAAAAAAACTTCTGCTTACTATGAGAATATTCCTTGCCCATCATTGATGGATCAATTAATCAATCAATCAATCATATCACAGTTTTTGGGCAGATTTTAGATTTTAAAGTTTTGGCTCCAGTGTCATGTCGAATGTTAAGAAAGGAAGTATCTTCAAGGTCAGGGTTTCTTTTTTATCAACAATGTCATTTAAAGGGTTGTTCTGGCGTAAAATGAAGTTAGGGTCTACGTGATCACATACAACATCTCGGTACTATTTGGTAGCAGCACACGCCCCTAGTAATAACCCCCATAAAAACTGTTGTTCAGGACTGCCTACTTGTGCTTCCTACCCATTCAGCTACTGGAATAACTGTTGTTCTAGCCTACACGCAACATGTTTGTTCTCATTCATAAAACACTTAAATCGGGGACATTTTCGGGGACAGCTTTTGCCACGGACAGGTCATCCAATTCGGGGACTGTCTCTGGAAATGGGGGACGTCTGGTCACCTTAGCTCAGACCATCACCTAACTTCATCAACAGTACATATAGGGTCCCAGCCATAGTACTAGCCACCAAACATCTTTTTAACTTTGCCTGATTTCTTCAGCAAGGAGACTAAACACAACTTACCTACTCTCTTCCACCAGCCGCTTGTTTGTACAGAGACCTCAGATGAGTCCATTTCTTTATGGAAATGCAAGAGGGAGAAGAACTAGTGCGTCTGCAGTGCAAAATGATTAATATGGTGATTATTACTTAAAGGAAATGATAAAGTAATGAACAAAGTCAGGCAGTTCAGCAGTTTGATCTCACCCCCGTAGTCTTGTGCCTGTGTGCCACTGGGCAAGACTCTTCAATCGCTCAAATCGCTCCTGGTGACATAATCAAATGTGATTTGCCAGATTTTAGAGTACTCAGTGCTACCATGCAAACAGGCTTTACAGAGACATTGATTTTATTTTCAAGCAGGACTAGGCACCTGTCCACAGTGCCAAAACTACAACCAAATGGTTAACTAAATGCAATATTACTATATTTGATTTGCCAGCAACTCATCTAAACTGACCCCAGAAAGTAAGCACATGTCTGTAAAACCTTAATGAGCTGAAGGCTGAACACCACTATGCCAAGCCCTACTGATACAGTAAATTGTGGTGAAAGCAATTAATCAATCTTATATTATACAGCGCCAATTCACAACACAAGTTATCTCAAGATGCTTAACAAAAAAAAAGTGGTCTGGACCAAACTCTGTAAAAAAAAAAAAAAAAAAAGTAAAGTTGGGATAAGATTGAGCTCTGTTAGAGCCTGTATGTAACAACAATCTGAAATGTAATTAAAGAAAATGTTATAATACCCCCAATGTAGTAACTGGTCAGTAATGCAACAAAAGTGCTGAGCCTGAAATGTAATGAAAGAATTGTAATAAAACCCAAAGTGTAATAAGTGACTAAAAATGTAGTTGTTACATCAGCAGCAACATAAAATGCATATAGCTCGAAGCTTTGCAAGAAAGAACTAACTGATGACAGGCCCCCACCACCTTAAAGGTGGGGTAGGCAGGAATCTATTAAAGAAGCATCTTTTATGTAGTCTATATACAAAAAAGCTTTTAATATCTGTCAATAGCTGTTAGTTATTGATGACATTTGGTAATATAACGATATCACTGTGTTTTGTTATGTCTGTGTAGTCAACATTTTACATTTTTTGAGCGGCCCGCTCTTTCTGTAAGCAAAGCCATTCTCTGCCTCCCCCAACCTGATCACCCTCATTTTGTGAGGCACGCTCCACGTCCTCCAATAATATGCACAAGCTTAAACAAAGTTAGCATGCTACAGTATTGGACAGTAGAAATGAACCAGAAAGTACAGAAACTACAAGCAATAAAACAAAGTAAACACTGGAGACTCTGGCCACATAATGGGCACTTAAAACAGAGGTAGAGTGGACAAGAGCTAAGAGGCCAAGTCAACATCAGCATAAATGATGGGGGACGCTTTGGGATCTTACAGACCCTGTAACCTTTCTGCTGTCAGGTAAACTGCTTTAACAAAGTAAGGCAAGTGTCTGTAACAGAAGTGTTTCTTGTCAAACGGGACCTGCTGCGTGTTGTAGCGCTTTACCTCGGGTCCTGGAGTATGTCACTTGATGCTAGTTGTAGAAGTCCTGCAAACATTGTGTTTGCTGGTAGTCTGTTGGCATCTACAGTAGCACCAATGCTTTTCTTTTACGTTGACTGGGCCCCATTTGTAACCATCTCAAGTATTTATCTGTATTGTATCTGAATTTAATTGAAATGATTCGAGCGAGCAGGAGCATCTGTTTATGGGCGGGGCTTGCTCAAGCAGAGAGGGAGGAGCTGAGGGGAAAACTGGTTAGGAGGGGTAGTGTTTACATTCAAGGTTTCTCCCAAAAACTGGCACTTCCTCAGGTCCTGCCAACCCCACCTTTAAGTTGGGCCACCCCTGTCAAAAATGTCTGGGCACACTCATGCCAAACAGCAGTCATAACCTGGAGTAACATTAGTCAAAGCAAGTTACCAACCATTCGCACTGATTAATTTATAAAATTCATTTTGCTGGATACCTAAGTCACACTAACATATTAATCTTATAGTTTTTACTTGTAGGATTTGAATAAGTGTTCGGTCCAGATATGTATTCAGAGAGAGATTTACAAGATATATGTATAAATGCAAACTAACAAATATTTAGAAATTATTTTGGTGATGTAATAATTTTTTTCTTAAATTTTGCTTTTTTTCCGTCAATCTGTTTTTGTAGGTGTGTTTCTTCTTAAATGTTCAACAAAATGTATAACAAATTTATATTAATGCTTTCTCTCTCTCACTGCTCTGTATGTTTGAGAGGCAGTGAGTCTAAAAGTCCTGGATTAGCCTTATCAATAAACTGTAGGTATAGATGGAAATCCAGTCATCTTCAGTGAAATAACTGGCCTTAAGCAGCAGGTCCTCCTCCGAAGAATCAAATTTCCTAACTCCGTGGGGCTGAGAGTCACTCAGCTCCGAACTGAGGGAGGCTTTGTACTGGGAGGGAGGGAGGGAGGGAGAGAGGGAGAGAGAGAGAGAGAGAGAGAGAGAGAGAGAGAGAGAGAGAGAGAGAAGTGTGGTGACTCCAGGTTTGCACTTACCGCAGAGGGACCCTGGAGTTTGTCGCATTTTCATCACTCACATGCACTTGGAGTTCATTTCAAAACCTGGATCTTCAGTCCTTTACGCACAAAATGTTTCGAGGGTAAGTTTTAAATTTCGAGTCTCTTTTTCATGAACACAGCTAGGTGGTTTTGTCATGAATTTCAACATAAATTTCAGGCTTCCAGGTCGCTGACACCTTTGAGCTGAACGACCTGTGATGCACTCTTGTTTCTTTTTGCCACGCTAACCTCTGCGTAGAGAGCGCCTCATCAGAACTTCCTCTACTCGCAAAATTAGCTAGATATGTTAAGAACTGAGAACAGTCCGCCAGAAAGTTTTCAAGAGAATCAGAATTACTCCCAGTAAACCTGACTGCCATTCATTATGTGTCTGCTTAGGTGGTCTCAAGCCCTGCATCTCGTCCTGCTGAGCTGGATGGCCTCTGCCCTGCAGGTTATGGAAGGTAAGATTGACGCTGCTGCTGCAGCTCTGTCTTTACACCACAACTTCAAAGAAACACAGCTGGGGTGGAGAATCAAAAGGGGGCTATGATGCTTTATCAAATTAGTTAAATGTTTTGTTTTCCTGGGGATGACAAAGCTCTCAGTTCACACTGTCACCGTCAGTGTTCACCAGCAGCCTTACAAATTTTAAAGACCTGATGTCATCAGGCTTGGTGATGCACTTGGCTTAATAAGGTGACTAGTAAAATTATTTCCCATGTAAAGAATCCATGCTAATGTCTTCTTTCTCATATTTTAAGACTGATTTGTATGTGAAAGATAGAACAGAATAACACAAGTACTGCTATTTTGGATGCTGTAATCTATTGGAGATCAATCTGTACATACATATAAACATGCAACATACCAATCAAATACAGTTAGATGATATGACTATCAAAATAGCTATCAAAGTCAACATTAATGATCAACGATATGCAATATTAACTCTCTAATTCTTCAATATTGAAACCTGGGCTCTCCTCATGACGTGGCTCAGGAATCAAATGTTGATTCACAGTTTTATTGTTTGGCTTGGCAGTATCAGCTGTGATGAGAAGTGCATATTACTTGCTCGCTTATGGTGCTTGCAATTTACCTCAGATATTCAATGGACTTTGAATTTCAGTAAAAAGTTTAAAAAAAAAAAAACTGGAAAGCATCTCCTTTTGCTGTTTGCATTGTCTGCTAATGTCAAGTAATAATGCAATATGTGATAGCTTACACACAAAAGCAATATGACATGAACTATATATGTTTATAAATGTTTATATCATGGACTGAAAACTCATGTTATGATTTGGGTTACTCGAGTTGCCTCATGAAGTCGCAGCTTTAAAGGGCTTATTGGATGATGTATCCAGATCAAATTGAAGGCACCATCACATACTACAGTACCAAACCAGTGGTACATTTCAGTCTACAATTTTGAGCAACACACAGCTAGAAGCTAAAGAGCACTGGTCAATATAAAGGAGTAAGTCGACTAATATTCTCACTGTTTTTAAAGTTAGAGAGAGCTGCTTAGCTTTGGTCGTGACACCTGAACTTATTTTTCCTTAGTCATTCACACCTCACTCACATCGGCTATCCATTAGGAAACACATTATGCGGGTCAGTTTCCTTTGATTTCCATTTTCACACCTCTGTTACTCCCTGCTGTGCCGCTCGTCTTATACAGCTCTGTAGGAGAGAGATGGTTTGTTTGTTTGAGGGCAGACCGGCTTCCTCTTGTCCCTTTATCTGCTCTGCTCAGCGTGTGTGTGTGTGTTAAACAAGGTAGCTGGAAGTGTTAGACGGGTCAAATGCTGCACCAGGGTGAAAAGTTAAGTGTCTGGTTTTCATTATAATGTGTGAGCAGGTGCACTTGCTCTCTCTCTCTCTCTGTGGATGTGTGTGTGTTTCAGGGGACAGTGTGGGTCTGTGCACACTGAGCATGGAGTTGTTGTTATCGTTGTTATAAACACACTTGTTCCTGTGCCGGTTTAATACCAAAAGCCTTTGGACATTTAAGATCATTGGGATAAAAATGCTCCCGTGTTTCTGGAGGATGCCTTTATGTATTCATGTGCTCTCACATGCTAACCATGGCACTGTGAAAGATAATTCAGTATGCCTCATCACACTGTGGACTGCCACAGGCTTCATGCTGAGAGAGACTGTCTTGTGACTAAGAAACCACTTGGGCCGGGTACTCGCTGTGTGACTGCATAAGTGTGCGGGTTAAACAGCAGCTCACACAGTAAGAGTGAACTGTTCATGATGCATAAACAGAGCTCACAAAGTACATGTAGACGTTGCATACTGAGTTGTTTGGTTGTTCAGCTTAAACTGAGGGTTCCTAATCAGCACGTTTACATGTTGTGAGAGAGAAATTAATTCATTGCTCTGGTCCGACTGAAACTGAACCTTTAGAATACATGTAAACAAAGACTGGAATAGCACTAAATCACAGACCTGGGCAAGAACAGTAGCCCATTAAAATTGCCCCACTGAGCTACAACTGTCACTTGACTTAAGTAAAGGTAAATGTTCTGAGAGGGTTTACTTGGACTGTACTGATAAAGCTTTCTAAGACAACTCCCACACGAGTTGAAGTCAGAGGATTGAACTTTGACACTCAGTGTGAAGAGCAATCATCACTCTTCTGGGGTGTCCACAAAAATGGAAAATGAAGAAGCTTTGTAAAAGCAGAACTTGTGGTGGAGCTGTTGCACTGGATTGTGCTTCATTGTACAAACAGTCATAATGTTATTGCTTATTGGTGTGAATGTGCATTTCAGTTCCCATAGTATCTTGTGTGTCACCAAGGTGCTTTCTGATGCTGTTTACCAACTTGGGGTGAAACAATAGGGAAATAATGCCCTGAAGTTGAGCAATATGTTTGTGGCCCTGCTTTAATATGTAAAAAATCAGTGTCAGCTGAGCTAAATTTTTGATATGCCAGGAGATTGTCTGATTGGTCAGAGGCAGCAGATTGGGCTGTGATTGGCCTTGATTTCATCATTCATGTGGTAAAGGAATGGTCAGAATCATTGTCTACAATTGGAAGTACACTAATAATACAATTAATGCCCCAGTTAGATTATTGATACAGTACTGAATATTTTGTAACCACAATTTCCCTGCAACTCTGTGTTTCTACCAGCAGAATATATTGATGTTGATATTTTTTTAGGCTGAGGTTGGTTGTTATTTGTATTTTCATAACCTTAATAATTATGTAGTAGTGTTTTTTTTTGTTTTGTAAGAGCTTGATAAAACTTTGAATCCTTGCTTTCTTTGACTCGTCACATCTGGCAAAGCCTGGTTTGAAGTTCCCAAGAACTGTAACTTTGGAAATGTGTGAGGTAGTTTTCAAACACTTTTGACAGTCTAAAAAAAAGGCTCATAGGCATCACAAAAGCTGTTCCTACCAAGCAATATGGTTTAGTTTGGTAAGGTACAGTGGGCAAATATTTGGCTTCCCATTTCCATTGGAGACTGTGGCTGAAATAACCTACCCATCCACCCTCCTGCTTTTCGGCACCCTTCTGTTGGGGTACCCAGTGCTAGATAGCTAGAAAATCACTTTTCGAGCTAGGTGACTGACGCGACTTCAGACCATTATCATTGTGTGAAAACAACAAAGACAGTCTCTCTGCAGATTAACTGTTTCATGATGGAAGAACAAGCACAAAGCTACTTTTACACTTGTGGCATTAATATAGCTGGTACAGAGCAAGTGCAGCTTCTGCTGATCATCACTCAGTGTTTTTTTCTTGAGATCACACGAGAACCTAAAGAGTCAAATCTGTCAACATGCATGCCCAAAAATCTGTGACCAGCTTGCAACCAACACACTTCCTACATAAAGCTCTAGGGTAGTCAGCCGAAGTACCCAAGGTCATGAGAGTTCAGAAAATTTTATTTCCTTTAAAATGTATAATTTTAATTTCAATTGAATTTTGATTATTTTTTACCACTGTATTTTAAGTTTAGTTTAGGCAAGTTTAAGTTTAGTTTTTTGGTGTTAGTTTAATTTTTTTTGTAACATAGGCACAGCAACCCTTCCAGAATTGAACATTGTGTATAAAAAAACTCAAAACATCATCTTTTTTGTCTATTTTTCTTGTGAAAGACAAAACTTATATGGAAATAAACAATATGGCACGATTATTGCAAGAAGCAATAATAAAAGTTAGTTATTCTATCTTGTGTGGACTCACATACTTCAGGGCACCCCGGCAGTGTCAAATTTGGGTTGGGCCACCCCAGTCAAAAAGGTCTGGACATGCCTCTGCTTGATAGCATGTACCTAATGCCCTGAGCCCTTTGCCCCTGGTGCTGCTCAAGGGGGTGTGTTTTTGTGCATCTCTCCTTAAATTATTGATTTAAAAAATGATAATAATACACATTTAGTTTGTTTTTGTGTAATTACAAGGGCTTGTTTTTATTTCTATTTTCGTTTTAAAAGGTTTTTGTACTTTTGTTATTTTTCATTTATGATAATAACCTTAGTAGAAAGCCAAGCAAAGACCAGGGTTTGCAGTAACCACCCCCATCAAACTTCATAACTGTTTTATAGATGAGCGTTATTGCTTG